CCACTCAGGTATCAATATGGATGGCTCTTGGTCGCGAAATGAGCTTCTTGACGCATTAGAAAAACTTACCAAGAAACAGTTATGGCCAGGCAGGTTTGCTTCCTTCATTGATGGTGTGGATGAGTACATGGGAGATCCGGCAGAGATTGCACGCCTTTTGAAAGCATTTGCAACATCCGCAGATGTTAAACTTATCGTCTCGAGTCGCCCTTGGATCGAAATCGAGACGTTCATTGACCCAATTCCTGGCCAATCGCTGCCCTTACAATACTTTACCCGAGCTGACATTCAACGTTATACTTGTGACTTAATCACCAACCATCCTGATTTTCGCATCATAAAAATAGACAAATGTTATTGGAATCTTATCGAGCAAATATCCAGCAAATCTAGTGGTGTTTTTCTCTGGGTTGTCCTAGCTGTCAGGGAGATACTGAAAGGGTTGACAAATCAAGATACAATTTCTGAACTGGAAGCTAGATTGGAAGATATTCCACCTGGGCTAGAAGAAGTCTTTGATCGAATACTCAATACCATCGAGAAATGTTATCGCCATCAAACATCACAAATTATTCAAATGTGTCTAAGCTCTCCAACCAAAGGAATGTGGCCGGTCATAACCTTTGCATTTTTAGATGAGGAAAAGAATAATCCTGACTATGCATTACTCGCAAAGTTGAACCCATGGCCAGTAGATCACTACAACAGAGAGCAATATATCACAAGAAAACGAGTTATAGCTCGATGTCGTGACTTCATGGATTTCACTGGCTGCTGGACCTGCTCACCATTGCCTCATGTTTTTACTATGTTTCTGCACAGAACGGTGGAGGAATTCTTTCTGCGGCCTGCCATGCAAAAGCTTTTGTTGGAGTGGACAAAACATCCATTTAATCCTCATTTATCACTGTGTCGCTCATTTATCATGCATTTAAAAGTCTTCCCGCCGGCCGCAGAAACTACATTACACTCGGCACACCCTAGTAATTGTGATATTCATCTAACGTCAATAATATCGAGCTTTTTACGTCATGTCAAGAAGCAGGATCTTTGCTATAATACAACGTTATCAGCACTGATCGAAGAGGTTGATCAAATCGTGACTTGTCGGTCCAGCAGCAACGATTTCAAGACTTTATTGATGATGGGTTACCAAAGACGCTGGAAACGGGGCTGGATTCTGGCTTTGTGCGTGCGGCACCGCATCCTTGAATATGCTCGGCAGAAGCTCCAAGAGAACTCGACTTTGGCAAACAACATTGACGGGTGCTATCCCCTCCATATCGCCTTGAGTCGAAATACCATCTCAAGTTTTAACGATCCATATGACGCAGATGATATGGTGACAATGGTCAAGGTACCTTTGGAAGCCGGAGCTGATCCGAATCAACCTTCTATAATGCCGTTCGACCCCATGCGAGACACGACTCTTGATCCACTGTCTCAGATGGAGAAAACCCTAATCAACGGAACATGGGCTGCATTTATACAACTCTGGTTTGAGGAACAAATTGAGTTTGGAATTCATGTTAGTGGCAAGATTCGGACTGAAATATTTAGATTGCTACTTAATTATGGCGCTGACCTTTCGGTTAAAATTATTGTTCGGCAAGAAGAGAGGGGCGTGACAAAATCACTTATGCACTACAGCCTATCTGAATATCTTGAGAAAGCACTTCCCGATTCAGCTGAATGCTACAGCCTCCTTCTCGAACGAATAAAGGAAAATAAATCAAGAAATAAAAGGTGCGAAATGCCGAGGTGGCAGACTAATCTACTGCGTGCTTTGGGGTACATATCAGGGGCCGAGACTGAGATACTAGATCTGATTTTGATGAACCTTGTCGTTATTTGTCTGGAACTACTACAAAGATATGTCTAAAGATTTGGGTCATTTTTAGCAAACAGATAGGGGAAATAGTCACGCGGTTGTCCTGGTGTTATTTGAAACTTGTTTTATAGTCCGGCTATTTGGTGCCGACGTACTTTTTATCCTGTATCATGAAAATCACACAAGACTTTTCGAAGCACCGAAGTGCTCACATCCTCACTTCCAGTTCTACTGAGGCCGATTTGAATCATTTGGCCAAAACCCCAAAAATAGATTTTCGCTTAAACTAAAAACATATTTAGAATTTAATAACATACTTTTATATAAAAAAAAGTATTTAATTCAATATATAACTTTAAAAGAATTGATAAAATAAAAAGAAAAGAGATCTTTTTATTAATTAAAGTTTAAGGAATCGATTGATATATTTCTTTTTGAATTATCTCAAAAATTGAAATTTATATTCAATTTTGAAATATTCTAATAAATTTAAATAATAATTAATTTTCAGAATTGAATCTTTTATTCTTTAAATATTATTTTATTAAATATAAATTTCAATTTTTAAAATAATTCAAAAAGAAATATATCAATCGATTTTTTGAGCTTTAATTAATAAAAAGATCTTTTTTCTTTTTATTTTGTTAATTCCTTTAAGGTTATATACTAAATTTAAGAAATTCTATATTATTAAAAAGATTAGTTGAGGTTTGATTAGTTATAATATTTAATATTTAAGGTATTAGTATAAAACAGATGTTATTAGAGTAATTAAAATTATAATATATTAAGAATCAATTTTAAATTTTGAAATAATTCAAAAGCAATTTTATTAATTGATTTCTTAAGCTTTAATTAATAATTATATTACTTTTCTTTTTATTTTATTAATTTTTTTAGAGTTGTATATTGAATTAAATTGTTGTTTTCTTTTAATATTATAAAAACTAACTAAAACTATATTAGTTATATAATTCAAATAAGATAAATTTGAGATAAAGAATTCTTATTAAGCTTGTTCGCTTATTTTTAAGTGGTTTATATATTATAAGGAAAACTAATTGAAAATAGATTTCAAATATTAATATACTTTTTATAGAAAGTTTCGAAATAAATTTGAAAAATAAATAAATAAAGTTAACTCTAAGGGCTATTCAATAGTATAATTTATATTATAAAAAATCTCTAATAATATTAAATTCTATTTCTCTATATAAGATTTCTATAAACACATTATATAGATTCTAAAATTTCTTTTTTCATTAGGCGAAAATCTATTTTTGAGGTTTTGATCAAATAATTCAAATCGGCCTCGGTAGTTCGCTACTTTTTCCGTGATTTAGCCAATAAATCAATATTCCTATAACCCTACGGATTTCGTTCCCCTACAACATATCAACCTTAATACATTCATGATATCTCCTACTAGTCTTTTTCGTTCCCTGTAATTAGAAGATTGTTATCAACTCCCCAAATCTGATTTACAATATTAATACCAAATAAGAAATAAGAAAACCCTCCCAGGTTACGTCAATTACTGAAAGGATAAAGTGGAATGTAATATATATATAGGTATCTCCATAACAATCCCGACATTTATTTCATCTCTTTTTATGATTTTCAACTCTTCCCACGATTTCGACAACCATCACACTTAATTACTTTCACATAAGTGTAAAGATATAAAAATTTACATATACTACATACTAGGTGCTTTTCTCCTCCTCAGAATCTCCCAATCTTATCATCTCATACACACACTCCAAAACCCTAATCCAAACCCATCAGTAATCAGTTTCCACCCTATCCCCACACCCTACAGACAAAAAAGCGTGACGAATTAGCTATTTCAGTAGTATCCATACACACACTCTCTTCACCATCTACCTTACTATAAAAAACCCATTATCCCAAAATATCTAATACCGACTAGAGTACAAGTACACCAGGAGATCACGAGTACCTTTTACTGTAGATAAATAAATACATAGATATATCATCCCACTACTCATACATTCCCTTCCATTTACGAATCTCGCCACCCACACCTATCCACCTATTTCCCTCCTCAAAACTCTCCACCCAATAGATCTAGAAATATATAGATATATGAAACGTACCCGCAGTCGTCACGGTACTACGATATAATATGATCTGTTATCCGAAAGTCTACTCGCTACTTATCACTACTACTTCCCTATACAATCTAGGTACTCACTGCTATACAACGTATATTTCTCTCACTGATGAAGATGTAAGAGCTTACATCCCCGGATTCTCATTATAGCATACTTCACACTTCATACTTTATATGAATCATTAAATACCGATATCAATTATCGCACAATTCTCAACTTAATCCAATCCAATCCAATCCAACATAAATCCCACTCCCCCCTTCTCTTTCCATCCACCAATCCCTTTATTCTTCATTCTTTATCCTTTATCCTTCATCCTTCATCCTTCCTTTATTCCACCACAACACAGAGCAATGCTCATTGCTTTGTTCCAACGATCTAGTAAGATCTTACCTATCTGATGCTTAATCACTACTCAGCAATCTAATCTAACCATCCACCAGATCCAATCCAATCCAATCTAACCTAAACATCCTCCCTCCCTCTCTCCCACTTTCATTCCCAACAACAAAGAACAGATAGTCAGTTACCTATCTAAACAATATCGGGATATCGATCATGTGATTGAAGGATATTATATCTTCTTCATATGGTAGGTAGGTAGGTAGATACCTAGTACTAGCATGCTTCTTGTAATTCGATTTTTACTTTTAATTTTAATTTTAATAATGAAGAATGATTATAATCGTGATTATAATACAGACAAGTTGATACCGAAAAATGAAAATAGCAGCGGCAACAGCAACAGCAAAAACAAGGAAAGAACAGGATAAAACAAGACAAGATGAACAAAAACTGAAAATGAAAGCATTGTTTTCCACAGCACAGCACAGTATCAAAACAACATCATAATCAGCACTATAAATTCCCTCTCCCATCCCATGTATCCCATTTTTCTCCAGGCACTTGCTATCTACTTACTTACTCACTTACAACCAGCTTTCCATCTTAGACTTTCTCCTCGAAATCCAAGCCAAAAAGCCATAAGTAAATCAAGCAGCAAAACCCAAACCCAAACTAACAACTTCAACATGCAGTACCCCTCCCAAAACGAGCGTCTCGCATCGCGAAGACGAAGTTTCGACAGCAGCATCAGCAGACCAACCATCGTTCCTCCCCCGAGAATTCGCTCGAATTCCCTCTCTTCCCCCTCTCCCTCTCCCTTCCCCTTCCCCACCCAAGCCAGACGTTCCCGCCTCAGCGCCCATCAGCGCAACATCAACTCGAACGAATATCAAAGACAACGACTCCTCGACTTCCGCACTCAGACAGGCCTCACCGAGTCCCAATCGCAGAGACGACGAAACGAGGAGCTCCAGGCCGTCCGTGCTCGGAGACGACGAAACGAGGCACTCGACGCTCAAACTCAGAACGACCAGGCGGTTCAGATCCAGGTGATGCAGGCGGAGGCGGAGAGGCTGCTCGTGGAGATCGAGGAGAAGAAGAAGAAGTTGCAGGAGTTGAAGGATCGGGTGGAGGCGGAGAAGAACGAGAAGAAGAGGAAGACTTCGGAGTAGGTGGATGAGAGCGAGAGAGCGAGAGGAGGGCAGTTGATCCGAGTATTTCTTTTGTAGCTTCTTTTCTTTTCTTTTCTTTCCGACGGACTCAGGTAAGTCAGTCTTCTCCTATGTATTGAAGATCCTCAAGCGCCCCTTTTTTCTATAAAAAAAAAAAAAAAAAAAAAAAAAAAAAAAAATATCTATCTATGAATTTTGGTAATCTATGACCCAGGAATGAACGTGACTATCAACTTACAATGAAATTCTAAGCCTTTTGAAGAACTTGTGATATCAATTTTCACTCTAAAAAACACTGGTTAGTATGTAATCCAACTGTATATGTATGTACTTTTCCAATCCTGACCTTGAGGTTCTCCTCACATTCCTCCCTATCTCTGTAAATAATTTTGAATTCCAAAAGATTCTTATCCGTATCAAAACAAAACCGGAATCGATCCTCCAACATTCGAGTCCTGACTGCCACTACGTTTCCGCTGAGATCTGATTTCCGCCAAGGCCGCCTGATTAACTGCACTCTTAGTGTAGATATCCACCGCACAACTAACTTCTACAAAATCTTCCATTTCTTCACTAACGGTCTTGAGTTTTTCTTTAACAGATGCTATCCCTTCATACCCGACAATATGTCTTGCTGGAGGATTCTCGTGACCTCCTATCGCCGTCAAAGCATGAACAGTTTCCATGACCAACTTATCTCTCGATTCGCTCGGTAAATTAGGAAATCTCGACTCAATCGTACTTTTCCCAGTTTGTGGTTCCATCCGCGTATCCGGATGTGAATTTAACACGTGCGTTAAAACTTCCCTCAACTGTGGAGCCGGATTGTTCTGAGGTTCATACTGTGGTAATTGTGGAGCGAAAGTAATTTTGTTTGTGAGTAGGGGGATTTCTTTATTCGGTTGAACGATGGTCAATTTTATATTGAATGGAGCAATCTCATATGTCAGCGCGTCACAAAATCCTTCCAAAGCCCATGTCGCAGCACAATACATGGACATTCCCGGTGTGCCTATGTGTCCAGTAATGCCAGTAAGAATGAGGATATGACCATCGCGTTTCTGTCGAAGATGAGGGAGAGCGGATTTGACAAAATTGATCTGACTGAAGTAGATGGCTTCGAATTGATCCCGAACGAGACTTTGAGTAGCTGGATTTGTCGAAAGTTCTTCCACCGTACCAACAACAGCTATACGCGTATCAGCATAGCCTCGAAATGAATACTTCATCACAACATACCTTCTGATGAAGAACACAACAAAATATCTATACGACCGAATACTTTGATGGCCTCGGCAATAGCTGCCAAACATTGTGATTTGGCCCTATCAATAATTCAGCATAAACTCATCCCACGTTACGACAACGGAATATCCAATAACCTTCCATCAACCCTAATCCCTCGAATCCTATCTTTCCAACCCTCACACTGCTTTTTACTACTATTGCAATCATTAATGAGTTCCTTGAACTCTACACATCGCTCATCATCCTCGATTTCACTCGGCGGTAGCCCAGCAGCTACATAATCGCCATGTTTGAGGAGAAGCCTAATCAATCGAACAGACAATGGAGATAAAGCGGAAGTTAAGAACCAAACTCGAGGTGAATTATGTGTAGCTGTTATTTCTTAGTACGGGAACATCTGTAAGCAATGAATGGCAATACACACGAAATGATGCAACGGGGATTTTCAAAGGATTGTTTGAAGGGCCAGCTTCTGAATTTTTTCGTTCCATGGTCAGATGGGAGCGATATCGAAAATAGATAATATCTAAAAGTAATCGCGAATTATCACAATCGAAAGGTGCCACCGCTTTGATTGATGAGCTATGAGTGAGCTGGAGGTTTGAAGTGGTTGAGGAAATCACATGGATGAGGAGATGTACTCAGATCACGTGAAGCGTTCTTCTGACTCCACCACTCTACGTAAACCGAAAAAAGCGGCGGAAATTCACCACCATTCAAAAGAACTTCAACGACTAAAACTCGTCTCAATATAATATTAAATAAGAAAAAAATTAAAAACAATACAAAAAAGACTTAAATTTTCATTTACTTTTTTCAAATTTCAATATTCAATTTAAAATGAATATATAATCTATTAAAAAAGATCTTTAAAGGGTATTTAATCTCCGCCGCTTTTTTCGTTTAGAGTAAGGGTAGCCTCCCAAAATTCACGCCAATTCAACTGAGAAACTGAGAAAATCTGGGGTAAAGCTACACCATCTCCCCTCTCTCAACTCACTCAACTTACTCAAACTATAACTTTCCCATCTCCTAAATCTCTCAAATTTTCTAGATTTTTTAAATCTCCTAAATCTCTCAAATTTTCTAAATTTTTTAAATCTCCTAAATCTCTCAAATCTCTCAAATCTTTCAAATCTCCTAAATTTTTCAAATCTCCTAAATCTCTCAAATCTCTCAAATTTTTCAATCTTTCAAATTTCTCAAATCTTTTAAATCTCTTAATTCTTATAATCCTTATAATTTATTTAAACTATAATTTTTCTATTTTCTAAATCTTTCAAATCTTTCAAATTTCTCAAATCTTTTAAATCTCTTAATCCTTATAATTCTTATAATTTATTTAAACTATAATTTTTCTATTTTCTAAATCTTTCAAATCTTTCAAATCTTTCAAATCTTTCAAATCTTTCAAATCTCCCAATCTTCCAAATCTCTTAAATCTCTCAAATCTCTCAAATCTCTCAAATCTCTCAAATCTCTCAAATCTCTCAATCTCTCAAATCTCTCAAATCTCTTAAATCTCTCAAATCTTTCAAATCTCTTAAATCTCTTAAATCTCTTAAATCTCTTAAATCTCTTAAATCTCTCAAATCTCTCAAATCTCTCAAATCTTTCAAATCTTTCAAATCTTTCAAATCTTTCAAATCTTTCAAATCTTTCAAATCTTTCAAATCTTTCAAATCTTTCAAATCTTTCAAATCTTTCAAATCTTTCAAATCTTTCAAATCTTTCAAATCTTTCAAATCTTTCAAATCTTTCAAATCTTCCAAATCTTCCAAATCTCCCAAATCTCCCAAATCTCTTAAATCTCTCAAATCTTTCAAATCTTTCAAATCTCCCAAATCTCCCAAATCTCTTAAATCTCTTAAATCTCTTAAATCTCTTAAATCTCTTAAATCTCTTAAATCTCTTAAATCTCTTAAATCTCTTAAATCTTTCAAATCTCCCAACCCTCACAACCCTCACAACCCTCACAACCCTCACAACCCTCACAACCCTCACAACCCTCACAACCCTCACATCTCCCATAATGCATTCGAAATCTACCTACTTCTTTACCTTACACCTTCCTTACACCCCCCTACCTATATACCTTACACCTACCTTACACCCACCTACCTACCATACACCTACCTACCTTACACCTACCTACCCACCCATCCTTACAGAACAATTTCTCACTTACAAAAATAACTTTACAAGTAATCACAAGTAATCACAAACAAACACAATCACAATCACAATCACAATCACAATCACAATCACAATCACAATCACAATCAACAATCACAATCACAATCAACAATCACAATCAACAAAGAACAAGTTCCAAGCTTCTGAGAGGAAAACAATATCAAAATAAAACAAAACTATTCTATTCTGTAAACCCTTTCCTTTCTTTGAATTCGAGACGAACGACAAGAATAATAGCAAGCCAGATTATAAAGAATCTGATCCAGCAAACCAACAAATAGACACCACTACTTTCTCTTCCGCGTCCTTTTCTTATTTTCTATCTTCCGATTTAAAAACTCATACCTCGAAAAAAGCAGTTTGCGAAAATGCAGAGCCCATGCTCACCAACTTTGAATCAAGTAAAAAATGATAATTGATGACACCATCAAACTACCTAGGCATTACAAAGATGTAGAGAACCCCGTTTACCACAAGGCGTAAAACAAGATGCAGGGCTGAGTTCTATATCCACCCGTTACCGGCAACGACAGTCATGCATGTGCATAATCCCATCTCTTTGATTGTATGCATAGACGTCTATAAGAAGTATGCTGCAAGACCACCAGCAATGGCAGCAAAACTCAAACCAATAGTGGCAGCACCTGCTGTGACTTGAGTTGGTTTGGCAGCACCCACAGTACTACTAACATTATTTACAGACCCAGGACCTGAGGGTGGATTGACACCATTGGCTATCGTTGCAGATCCAAGACCTAAGGATGGATTTGTGACATTCGTAACGGTAGTAGATGCCGAACCCAATGGCGAATTTGTGCCGTTGATACTGGTACCGATTCTAGTACCTGAGATAGTAGTATTGCCAGTTCTAGTGGCTGTACTGGTATTAGTTCTAGTACCAGTGCTCGAGCCAGTGCCGGGTGATCTGCCAGGAGATAAACTAGGCTTGGCGACCGTTTGATCGTAATAGTCACAAGTATTGTTTGGCGCCAGAGGACATGTATTATCGGTACAAATTGATTGCAACTGTCGTCCTTGTTTGGGAACAATAGTCGTTGGTGGTAGGCAACGGTATCCAAATGATTCTTGGAGTGAGTAGCCGATGGTCATAAGATCCGAGTCAGAAACACCAAAGGATGCAGCGGATAATGCAACTTGTTCGATGAAGTAATTGACTTCAGCGTCAGAAAGATACATGAACCTATCAACGTTGTCAGAAATTTGCCATGGTTGATGTCATAAACTCGGGTACAAAAGATGAGAATATTGTGATCAAGTTGACATACTTATGAACATTATACTGAGATGCAGAACCAGAATATCTCGGGAAATCAGCACCACCTTGTTTGGAACATGAAAGTAATACACCGAAGTACTGGTAGAGATGGGTCATGAGTGAACTATTATGATTAGTAATGTTTCGTATCATTTGTCAAGGAAGCTCACTATTGATTGGTTGTATCGGAATTGGCAGGCTGGTAATTACGAAGACTATCTGCTCCTCCACCATCGAGAAAGTTGACAGATAATGGTTTGTTCCCTCCATTGGTAGAGACGAGTCCACCGTTGAAGTATGGCAACAGACTGACTTTGATACCATTGTAAGTTCCATTGGTAAGCATACCAGGGACATTGACACTAGAGGCTGATTGATCTCCTGCAAGAGATTGATGAGTGAAGAACATTGCACGAGTTCACATGGGGACTTACCAATATTACCAATGAGAGCCCTGTTGACCACATGGACCAATAATTTCTTTTGATTGTAAGAAGTATTGTCCTTAAACAAAGCAGCAGTGTAATAATCACAAATACTAGTGCCTGCCTGTCGTTGGGCAACAGCCGTAACAACAAGGCTCAGAGCCGCCACAGCAAGAGACTCAAAATGCATGATAGATGAAACTAGGAAGTTTCAAATAGTGATCTTCAGATGATAACGCGGGAAGAATGATCGAGTTTCAATTTAACCAAAATTGATAGAGCAAAAGTAATCAAGCAATAAAGCCAGCTGAATGTGAGGATGATGTTGGTGATGAAGAGAAAAGAATTGGATTGGGAGAAGAGAAACGGGATTATGAATGGGGATGTAAACAGACTGGGTGGAGAAGAAGACTTCGTTCTTTCCATGATGTTTTATCCGCGAATTAGGAAGCAACGCTACTGAAATGAGCAGTTACTGACTTGCTATTAAGCAGCGAAGCATGAATTCAGCCAAGGTATGAGGCCAAGAATTGGCCCGAAGAATTGAAGCAGCTCTCTGTCGACAATTTATTAGCATAATAGGTATGTTATCTCTTACTAAAGATGAAATGTCTTTCAAAGACGGCAGTTAAAATCTCAAACCTTTCTTCAATAGCCAGTGCAATAATGTAGGTGCTTGAGAGAACAATCCCAAGCGCCTACTCCAGTGTCTCCTGAATTGTCGACACCTGAGATATGCAGAAGAGTCTTCCAATGTCAGAAAGGCGATTGATTTGATTTTCTGTATTGATTGAATGTATTGGGGAAACGCATTCTCCTTTCCCATATACATCTCAACTCAAATCCTGGGATGATATAAGTCGACAACGATTTTCATCTCAACAAATTGACATCATTGTCAGTAGAAGCTCTAAAACATCCAGAATCGGTATTACTTTACTCCCAGAATGTCCAAGTTCTTTTTATGACTTTAGAAATACAGATTGCAAGAAAAAACGATCTGTTCGTGCGCCTAAAGATGCATCTCCCTGATAGTGGCAATGATTGTGGGAATTTCAGAGAACACAAAATAACAGTAGAGAATGGTAGAGATGAAATAGCATCGGCCTAAGAAATCGCCAAAGCGACACTTGAGTTGCCAGGAAGTGTCCAGAATTGCAGTTCGTAAAAATGCCATTCTTAATTGAGGTCTCTGGATAGGTATATAAACAAATATTGCTGCTCAAGGAGTAGTGTTGATTTGAGAGAAAGATGATTGATGTAGAGTCAAAGACTGTACCGTACTGGCATGAAGTAGGATTGCTTTGCTTTCCCTCAGAGAATGTCTGATACTAAGGAGCGTTACAATCCCACGATGATTCCCAAGTCGTAGATAAATTTCTCAAAGATATGGCTTCCCCTCTCGTACTGAGACTATACGATGCTTACCTGGACGACTCTAATGCCTCAAGCACATATCATTTTGGATATGTGTCAACGTGCAGATTGACGACAGCGAGTAAGAAGCAATAGCTAGGTACCATTCTGTACTCGAAGTGTCCTATGCATCATCAACGCACAAAAGCCCAAGTGACGCACATCTCACATCTATCTCACACACAGCTAAGCTGCTACACCGACCTACCTACAAAGAGAACATTGGAATCCCAATAACACACGTACCCACCACACTTCCACCATCCACCATCCACCATTTATCATCCAGCATTCAGCAACCCAAAGATCAGCCCTGTGAATCCCCAATTGAATCCAATTTCGTATTGCGTGGAACAAATAAACTCACGGGTTGGATTGGATTTATTGTCCTGTGTCAAGAATGATTCGAGATCTTGTCACATCACGTCGCATGACATCGGTGTGTAGGTGTACTCACTCAAGTGTACTCACTCACTCAATGTATGTATGTATGACGAAGTTTCAGCTCGTCATCTCGTTCGTCATCGATCTCACGATCAAGATGTGGTATGTGGGATGTGGTATTTGTTGTATACTTGTAGACTTTGGAATTATAATCGGTGATTACTTGGTGGCTGGAAAGGGATTAGTAATATTTGAATTGATATTCGGTGATGTAGGTATTTAAACTAAATGCCCAATGTCTAAATGCCCAATGTATTGTGAAAAAGACTCTTAAATATTGTGAACATGTATTGTATGGGCATTTATCGTACCTAGGTATTATTAGTATATCTTTCACCGTTTGACAGACACCGCATTTATGCATTGATGACATAAGGAATGATGGATTCAAATGATGATAGTTTCGGTGTATCTTTTGGTGGGTACGGTAGATAGAACATGATTCTAGAAGGCTTCTTGATAGGAGTGGAAAGTCAGGGTGAGTGAGATGTGTGCAGGAGCGCTCGTGGTATTGGAGATGGGATTATGGAGTATGGAGTAGGGAGTATGGAGTATGATAGAAGATAGAGGGAGTATGGAATATGGAATATGGAATATGGAATATGGGATATGGGATATGGGATATGGGATATGGACTATGGACTTTGGTTGACTGGACTGGACTCTAAATGGTATGAACTGGACTCTGGTGGATTGTGGAGAGAGATCTCCCGGAATCCTTATCGGTTGATGGATGGATGGATGGATGGATGGATGGGTGACTCTGCTGATACACCTAGTCTCCCGGTCTCCCGGTATATCTACAGTACCGACATATGATATACGATATACCATCTGATATACATACCTATCTACCCATCTACCTACCTACTCGTCAATAGTTGATTCATAAAAACGAAGTATATCCTCAAGTAAAAAATCAAAAATCAAAAGAAACAAAAATCAAAACCCCAAAACCTTCCACTCGTATATCTGAAATGGATGGTCGAATGTCTAATAATAATTTGAAGAAAGACCGGTACACCATAATATCTTATCCACATCTGTCAAATCCCCCCAGCCACTTTCAATCTTTTCTCCATGTTCCACCCATGCATCGATGGACCTCCAGGGCGACTAGTCTCTAGTAACGAAATATGAACGAGGGGCGGAAATTGGAGATGCATTTTAGATCAAAAAGCAAAAAAAAGGTCCCATGAAAATCGGATCGACCATATCCAGATTAAATTGAAGGTTAGTGGTAGGATTAGCGTCGAAGTATTAATTTCATAATTTCATAGTTTTATATTTTATCAATTTTATCAATTTTATCAATTTTATCAATTTTATCAATTTTATCAATTTTATCAATTTTATCAATTTTATCAATTTTATCAATTTTATCAATTTTATCAATTTTATTAATTTTATATTTTACCAATTTTTACTAATCTTACTCAATCTTGAGCCAATCTCTCCTAAACACATACAATACGATCAATCAATCGTCAATTTTCGATCCTCTTTTCAACTACTTCCATCATTTCTTTTTCCTATTCACTCATTATTATTTACCATTTACCATTCATCATTCACCATTCACCACTTACCATCCTCTCTCTAATTCAACTCGTCTCCATTGTCTCCTCTTTATTCCTTGCACCTACATTAAATTCACCCTACCCTCCATCGTACCTATCAATCATTCCATATGCTCTCACCACCAATCTATGATACTCGTTACACTCTCTATCGTATTCCTTGAAACTTTCCGCTTTCCGAGAGCTCCATCCCCATCCATCTCCATCCATCTCCATTCGTTCCCATAGAACAATTGAAAGGGGGAAAAAGAAGCAGAAAAAGAAGAAAAAGCAAAACTCAAAACTTCCAAGAACCAAGAATTCTCCACATCAAGAAAGAACGAGATCACAGAATCAAGAACATCGTCTCGTCTAGTCCCTTCTGCAAGGTGCGGTGTTCAAGACAACTTGTGGACAACGACCCACCCTAAAGAAAATCATGCAAGCAACCGCCTTGAACGACGAACTACGAAGCCTGTAACAGGGCGTCACTCGAAACAGCTTGCATTACCTTTCACCTTCTCTTTATCCCCAAGACTATTATGTTTCAACCTTGCTTATGCTGCTAGACCATCACTCTTTTAAGGTCTCTTGTGAGCAATGCGCCTGCGATTTCCTCATTAAATTAATACACCTCTAATCAGAAAACATAATCAAACATGGAGAGTACATCACTTATGACTCCTTCTACCTCGAGGCTTGCTCCTCCATTGCTACACCCAAGATCTTCCTCGAGAACAAGATCCCCAAACAGATCCTCAAGTCGATCACATATTGCCGATGACCTCCTATCCGACCTCACGCCCACCACAACCCTGCAAGCTTTCACTACACCCACAGGAAAACTGAAGACTAGCATCGAAGCTGCTTCTCCTGCGGATCGAGCATTCGGCATACGAGCAACGTTAGCATCCAAGAAAGTACAAGAATGGTTGGATGAATTATCAGATTGGCCATGGCCCCAGACTGGGGGATCCGCAGGATTCGAAGCTCCCGTCTCTTCAAAGAAAATAAAAGTATCACCACCCAAGTCGGACAATGAAACGGAACAACAGGACGAAGAAGATACAGAGCCGCAATATTGTGGGAGTCTTTTATTCGATCAGGTTGTACGATATGAGTATCGGATAGAAGAAATTGGCGAAGGGATGGATGATTTGAAGGTGGAAGAAATAAAACGTCGGGTCTTAGATACACACTTTTCTGCGAATTCTCGACCTCCCGCTTCTGCTTCTACTCTTGCCGTGCCGGCTTTCCTTACCTCGTATACGATGATGGATGATTTCACAGCTATAGTTACGGCCACGGTATTGCAGGCATTACCGAATTTGGCAAAATTGACGCGTTTATTAGATATATGGGGTGTTCGTCTCTCTGTACTTCGGAGAGTGCCGCCTTTGTTGCTTGGGTTAGATGATGCGGAGATGGCGTTAAATTCGGGATGGCAGGCTATAAAGATGGCGGGGGCAAATGCTACTGGTTCTGGTGAAATGGGGGATTCGGTTCTTTCTCGCCAAACTTTCGAAGTCATGAAAAACGTTTTACAGGCCAAAGTTACGATTCTTGGGAGAGATCTGGATTACATGCTGGATACACTGGAAGGTAGGATGGATACCTTGCCCGATAGCTGGTTGGATAGGATGGAAAACCTTGAACGGGATTACGGCGAATGGGTTGTTTCAGCAGATCGTAAAATTACAGATGGAGAATTGGCCGCAATTGCGATTAAACAGGCCGAGAAAGATGCGGCACGGGCAGAAGAAGCTAGAGCCCTATCAGCATCTGCGATTGAAAATGGTCCAATGGAAGGGAATGTGAATATTCACGAAATGGAGCCCACGACCCCCCTTCAAACGGAGTCTATTGCCATCTCCAATGGGTTGTTGTCTACACCAGCAAAAACACCAAATCCATGCGCTGCTCAAGTTCAAGACCACGAAGCTACGCAATCTTCAATTGCGAAAAGCCCATCTCCACCTCAAACACCATCTCCGTTATTAGATTCTCATCACTTACAACAAGCTGGAAGTGGGTCGCTCTCACACACTCCATTAACTCGCTCGTCTAGCGTCAGGAGCTTCACCAAAGTTCCCAAATTCGGACATACTTTCGCAAATGCATTGAGACGTACCATTTCGAATGAGGAATCACCACAAACCTCGAGTCATGATCGACACGTCACAGCTCCAAGAATTTCTATACGACCATCATCGGCAATTCTTGATACATTTCCGAGTCCGACTATGAAGTCCCCTACAGGATCTAGACTGCCAAGATTGCGCAGTTCGAGCTCACCTCATGTCATCGGAGTAGAACGGGGATTCTTTACTTCCAAGGATTCAATTACTTCTCCAAAGAAGGATTCTGTCTTGAATGCGCCAGCTTCTAGCATTGCTTTAGCGAAAAAACTGGGCATTTCTTCTACATCCCACGAATCGGCACAGATTAGTGATGTGAAAGCCCAGAATATGAATGCACCGGCATATTTATCTCGCGCGTCTCACAATTCTACAATAGCGAGCAGTGATGGTGCTTCAGAAAGTGCTCAAAGGCTCGGTCCTGATGGGATGGAATTCGATATTTTAGATGCACAGATGGAAGCACGCAGACCTTCCATAATTGTCGATGCTTCAGATGATTCACTCTCGGACCGCTGCGAATCTAAAATGACGCCAGAGGCTAGTCCAAGTCCTGTCGATCATGACTCTGATGGAGCATCTACTGTCACATTTGAAGATTCCCCTCTTCCACGAAAATGGTCACATGATCTTCAGAAATATGATAACACTCCACCCGGTTCTCCACCAGGAGCTCCAACCAAAGCTATACGTCGCCCTCCTCAACTTCTCGAAAGTCCAGATTTCTCCCACCTAATATCCACACCCGATTCTTCTTTTTTTCCTAGTGGCAATGCTCTCGAATCTATCCCTGCCTCGCCCGTCAGCAACAACAGCGATGACCAGCTGCAACAACAAATTAGTTCTTTACTTCAATCAATTCCAGCGCATATTCGGCTTCGCTCCGAACCAGAAGAAAAGCCAGATACTAAAGGAATTCGTCCTCGGAAGACTCGTCGCTCGGTTACTCCCTCGATGCCTTCAGTTCGTTCGCAATCTTCAATTGGCAGCTTACGTGCCCCAACTCCATCATTTACCCTCGCTCCTGCGTATGCAAAGAGTGGCACTCCGCGTCACAGACCTCAGAACGGTAATCCAGAGATTAAAGTTTATCATTTATCTAGGTCAAGTGGTGAAAAGCCGATTAAGCTTTTTGTTCGCTTAGTGGGTGAGAATGGTGAAAGAGTCATGGTACGTGTTGGAGGTGGTTGGGCCGATCTTGGAGAATATCTCAAAGAATACGCAAGTCATCATGGACGAAGAGCTCCAGTTGATACCGATAAAGTTGAGGTTCAAGATTTACCGTCACGTATTCCCTCTGGTGGCTCTACTGTTCGTGATAATGGACGTACTACACCTGGACCTGGTCGTAACACACCTGGTCCACGTTCTGCATCTGCAATGAGTGTTCGCCCATCAACTGCCATTGATCGACCCAAATCATCCCTTGGTGTTCGCAAAACGAGAAAATCTACATTCTCTTCTTCTGATGCAGTGCCTCCCCTTCCAGCTACACCATTTTCTGAAGTTCAACGTGAATCAGATACCAATCAGACCCCTCAATCAGCAGTATCTAGAAGTTCTTCAAGATTGGATTGGAATGAAGAGGACACTTCTTTGGGCCTTGCTGGGCCAAGAGGTAAACAAAAAGAATTAGATCAGAAAGATCTTGAATGGGTTGAAGGTATGAAGGAGAAAGTCATGCTGGCAAGTACGGAGGAGAAAGAAAAACGTAAAGGTGGTCACAGACAAAGTCTGGGAGAAATGGATAAGGTTGGAGGTACTAAGAGATTGTTTAGAAAAACCTCAAGGTTGGAGCTATGAGTGAAGAAGTCTGCATCTTCTTGCATTGCGATCGGATTCTTGTTTTATTATTGCATAGCGTGCGTTGCTTGCTTGCTTGGGAAGGACTTCTTTTCATTTCATTTGTATGGAGTGGAGATGGAGGATACTAAGTAACGGGATGGATAAATGGACGGGTCTAGCTGGCTAGCATGGTCATGATATGATATGTGATGCATGATGGACTGGCGGATGGATTTTATAGCTTTTTTTCGTCTGGGATATAGTTATAACGGGAATAGGATGGATTTGCTGGAGTGGGTTAACATGGGATTGATGGATTCACCTTGCAGATTATGGTATTCATTGTTAATTGGAAGGTCGGATATAGGGTAGGGTAGGATAGGGTAGAGCACAGCATAGCATAGCATAGGTATCAATCAAAGGATGGAAGGACAGAACAAGGATACTTTGACTTGAGTTGAGATTCGAGGGTTAGATGGGTACCTACTTGAGCTGAGACACTTGAGGTCTGGAAGGCAGAGTATCGGGTACTTTAGATAGGGAATAGGGATTGTGGAATAGGAATAGGGAATAGGAATACAAATTAATGAATACTCCTTTTAAAAACATTTTCTTGGTTTTTGGTTTTGCGATGTTTGATTTTATGATTTTGGTTTGGAATTAAATGGATTGTATTCTTGAGATGAAATAAGATGAGATGAAATAAGATGAGATGAAATAGATGAGATGAACAAGATGCGATGAGATATTGAGATGATATATAAGATAAAAATATGAGATGAAATATGAATGAGATTTAATAAGATGAGATGAAATCAAACTAACGAGATAAGATAAGATTGAGTAATAGATTGATTAATAAATTACATATTTATTTAATCTTATTAGATTTGAGAAATAATTACTTATAGTTAGAATTAATAAGTAAGTTGTAATAATAGAGAGAATAGTTAATGAATTTAAAGTAAGTTATAATAAAAGAGAGGAATAGTTAAAAATAAAAAGAAAAGAAAAAGAAAAGAAAAAGAAAAAGAAAAGAAAAGAAAAAGAAAAAGAAAAGAAAAAGAAAAGAAAAAGAAAAAGAAAAAGAAAAGAAAAAGAAAAAGAAAAAGAAAAGCAAAAAGAAAAGAAAGAAAAGAAAAGAGGAAGAGAAATTAGGAAGAGGAAGAGAGTCAATAAGAAAGAATATAATTTAAGAATTAAAAGCTAGATAGTATTTAAGTATAGTAAAAGAGATGAATATGTAAATAAGGGAATTCACTTCAAAGGAATGACTTTAATATAATAACAACTATATTAAAGATATTTAAGTAAAAACAAAAGAGACTAGCTCTTTCAGTAATACCTATATAAGGCCTACTATTTCCCCTCATTAACTAGCTCCTTAGATTGAATACAACCAGACATTTAGGGGCCTACTCATAGTAGGAACCACGTCTTCCATATCTCTCTCAAACCAATAATAAGAGATGAGAGAGATGAAAGAGATAAAGAGGGGAATGTATATATAGATAGAAGATTTCGTTATTTAATAATTAAAAACAATTACTCGTAGAGCTCTCATTATATAGGTATCTAATTATACTTATTTCCTTACTATCTCTATAACTAATATAATATAATACAATTAGTCGTTATAATTCACTATGTCAAATATCATTTATTATATCATGAAAACTTAATAGGAAAGTAGAAAAGATAATAAATATAATAATAACAAACATAATCATGATCATTATAATCATTATCATCTACCGAATCTTCTTTATCATCCACTTCTCTTATTTCTTATTTCATTTCTCTCCGACTCCCCATCTGTGTGTACCCAAAACCCACATTCAACTCTCAACTGACTTACTCACTTATAGACAAATTACCTAGCCCCTAATACTTAACTCTCAACCCTTAATCCCTAATCCTTATCCCTGACTCATGATTCCCTCCATTCGAGTTCTAGGGAATATATACCCAGCTTGATGTATCTACCCGACAAAGCAAGGAAATCTTTTAAAAGAAATCTCGCCAGCAACCGTCAAAGAGTAGTAGCTATTTCGCTTATAGTCACTCAAACGTCATACATACGATTTCTCGCTTCCAGTGCACCTTTAATAGCTAATTTCCAAGTTAGCAACGACTCCATGTTCAGAACTCAAACACTATCATCCAGTAAAAGAAGCATATTAACAAAATCAAATAACTTACCATCACAACTATCCTTAGCATCACCAAAAAGCATTCTCGTACCCGGCATATAAAACATGGGATTAACCACATCAGCATATCCACTTGCCATACCTCTCTTCATAACAATCACCTGTTTACTCTTCCACGCGTGTAAAACAGGCATACCAGCAATACTAGAACCCGGTTCAAGAGCGATAGGGTTGACTGTATCATTTGCGCCAATGACAAGTGTTACATCTGTTTCTCCGAAATCATCATTGATTTCATCCATTTCGAGGACAATATCGTATGGAACGCTAGCTTCAGCAAGAAGAACATTGCATTGACCAGGCATGCGACCTGCGACAGGATGAATGGCGAAACGGACGTTAATGCCTTTACTCTTAAGCATTCGAGTGATATCGCTGATAGCATATTGAGCTTTTGCAACTGCCATACCATATCCAACGACAATGATAACACTTTCCGCATTTTCAAGGGATTCCACGACTTCATCGATATTGGTTTTGGTGATTTGCCCTTCGATTTTATGCTCAGTTTCCGTGCTAGGAGCTATTCCTCCAAAGAGAACGTTTCCGATAGATCGATTCATCCCGACACACATAATAGAAGATAGGATTGAACCACTAACTCCTATCAAAGATCCAACTGTCGTTAAAAGCGGCATATCGAGCATGAAGCCTTCAGATACAATTGCAAATCCGGAATATGCGTTGAGTACAGTAATGACGACAGGCATATCTGCTCCACCGATAGCAGCGGTAGTTGTGTAACCTTTGATGAAACTAAGAACTGCATTACCACCCAAGCAACATGCGGCAATCACTGGTGCAGCAGGTGCAAAAGTAATGAAGGCTGCCATGTTGGCCATATTAAGAGCAAGCAGAGTAGAGTTGACTGAATGTTTGGGACCTGGAAGCCTAATTGGTTTGGAAGACATCCGACCAGCAAGTTTAAGGTAAGCTACTATGGATCCAGTAAACGTAACACCACCTAGTAGACGTTAGTAAACAACGAGGACAACAAGAAGTGATTTTAATTACCAATGAGAACACCCATATATCCAGCTATGAGATGAAGTTGTGAGATGTCACCAATATCTGCCATGACTGATCCGAAACTAGTTAAAACAGCAGCAAGACCAACCACAGAGTGAAGTGCCGCCACAGTTTGAGGTAAATCAGTTGCGGTAGTGCGTCGTCCAATTCTCAACCCTATTACGAACAATTGTGAGTTGAATGATATTTACATGGAAGAAAGTACCAATTACTTACCAATGATGGCTCCACAACCAGCAACGGCTGCGAATTGTGCAAGTACTTCAACAGGAAATCCAACCGCGGCTAGTGATGCAAGTATGCCGACTCCAACACCCAGAATACCCAAAAGATTACCTTGACGCGCCGTCGTTTGAGAAGCAAGACCAGATAATGATGCTAGTAAAGTTAGTAGTTATTTTGGTAAGAAATGCAAAAAGTGGAATTACCAATGCACAGGAGACTGCTGGCAATATATCCTGCTTGTACCAGCCCAGCCATACCAGTGGATGCAGCGGCTATATACCCGGCACCGAAAACAACAGCAGGTACAGCATATAACCATGGGTATTCCTTTGGATCAGTTGGTCCTGTAAAGAGTCAGTTAAGGTGACATTGGAAAGGAGTATAGTACTTACGCTTGAACATATCTAACATTCGTTTGGTAATCAAAAATCCACCAGAAACATTTACAAATGCAAGCATTACAGACAAAGCACCGAGAGCTTGAGGAATAGTATGTGGTACAAGACCACCTCCCATGATGAAAAATCCACCAACACCGACCATACCTGAGATCGCATTTGTAACACTCATGAGTGGAGAATGTAAGGCAGGAGCAACTCCCCATACGGTTCTGTAGCCAATCAATCCAGCCAGTGCAAACGTGAAGACATTGTTCATAAATAAAGGCCCAGTTGCTTTGCCAAGAAGAAGTGCAAGACTCATCCCACCGGTGATAGCTCCGACTTCACGTGTTTGCTTTTGCCAAGGAGTCAAGGGTACAGTATTAGCAGCTGACGCGTTAACATCGACAGCTGAGGCAGCTTTTGGAGCTGGCGGAGCTGGTCGTGGTGCAGTGGGTATGATTTCTCCATTGTGAGTGACAATTGAACCACGAACAACTTCATCCTTGAGATCGATTCCGAATTGCTTCTCTTCAGGGGCAATAGAAAGAAGGAATTTAGTGATGTTATTAGAGTACAAGGTGGAAGATTGAGTCGGTAGTCGAGAGGGAAGATCAGTATATCCTGAAACTAAATTAGCTTTGCCTCGGAATCCATCAAATCATGCCACAAACCTATAATCTTAACTCCTTTATGTTCAATCAATTGACCTGGAACAGTAACATCACAATTACCACCTGCTTCTGCTGCCAAATCAACAATGACAGAACCAGGTTTCATTGCGGCAACCATCTGTGGATTTAGTCAGATCTTTTTCAACAATTTTATGCCTGTGTATGCTTACATCTTCGTGAATCAATTTAGGAGCAGGACGGCCGGGAATCAATGCAGTGGTAATTATGATATCAACTTCACGACATTGTTCCATGAACAATTTCTTCTCGGCCTCCATGAATTCTTTTGACATTTCTTTTCCATAACCGCCGGCGCCAGATCCATCTTCTTTGAAATCTACCTCGATGAATTCAGCACCTAATGATTGGACTTGCTCACGTGCAGCTGATCTGGTGTCAAATCCCCGTACGATTGCTCCCATGCGTCGAGCCTAATTAGGAAAACCATTAATATCTATGTCACAAAGTAGAGTCAAATGCTTACTGTTGCAATGGCACTTAAACCAGCCACACCAGCACCGATGACAAGTACTTTACAAGGAGGAACCTAAATAAATTAATGACGTCAACTGAAAGCGGATACTCGAGTAAGTACCTTTCTAAATTCACTAAATTAGTCTAGAACGCTAGCAACTTATAAACATTTACTTACCCAGCAGCAGTGACTTGACCAGTCATGTAACGACCAAAATGATTTGAAGCCTCTAGGACAGCTTTGTAACCGGCTATATTAGCCATAGAGCTAATCACGATAGCATGTGAGCTTTCATTCTCTTAACTGCGATCTGGAAGCTATGCATACCTCAAAGCGTCGAAAATTTGAGCTCTGGAAATTCTAGGAATCATGTCCATCGCGAAAGAGGTAACCTCTCGATGCGCTAATTTCTCCACGACATTTTTGTTTACTCCTGGATATAAGAACGAGATAAGAGTTGCATTGTTCTTGAGCGAATCGACTTCATTATTAGGTCCCTCCACAGTTGGTGCCCGGACCTTTAGAAGAATATTACTCTCTGCCCAAACATTCTTCCTATTTACTATTTTAGCTCCCGCTGTTTCGTATGCCTCATCTGTGAATTGAGCTTCGGCTCCAGCACCTCGCTCAACAAGAACCCGGGAGAACCCTTTCTTAATCAACAATTGTGCATTTTGTGGAGTAATGGCAACTCGTTTTTCGTTTGGGTATGTCTCGCGAGCTATCCCAATTGTCAAATTCGAGTATGGAGTGGTGATTAAATCCGGCGTAACAGCAGCAGAGGACGCTGTAGAAAGAGATGCGGTATTCGGGACAGCAGATGTGGTGGAAGAAGTAGTTGTCGATGTATACCTCTTGTACTTTTTCTGGCTTGTTGGATAAAGTGATCGTAAGTGAGTAGCTACGAAAAAGACATGTTAGTCTCAATCAAGTAATTGATAGACGAGATCGTGAGCTAGAGCGAACGTCAGGAATGAAAACATACCAAGACTGTCGCCAATCTTTGGACCCGGCGAGAGTACTTCTGAATAATTATTGGCACGACACAATCTAAGTATCGGCTTCATTGTTGAAGGCCAGGTCATCTTTTAGACCCGCATCTGTAATTGTATAAACTGTTTTGGTAGAAAGAGAAGAGAAGAGAAGAGAAGAGAAGGGAAGTTGGTAAGTTGTATTCTAGGGAAAGCAAGAATTGTTCTTGTAAGGGAGTAGGTTAGAAAGGTCGATGAATTCAAGAAGAAGCGATATTGTACTGGGTGAGTCTTAGGATTGTATGAATGGGGAATGAATGTGCTAAGATCATCTGTCACAATGAATTCTACCGTGCTGTTGCACCGTTTCCGAATGAATGGAAAGAGCGTTGGGTGAATGAAGTAGATATTCTCGATAGGATTGATATGGTTCGGATTGATCGTATCTTATATATGAGACGGAAGAAGGGTGCAACATTATCGTATCTAAAACTGGGTATACATAGAGGAAGGGTTACCTACCTGTCTACCCACCTACTTACATGGTTTCCTTTATAGTCTAAACAGGCTGATATGGTGGGATCTGATCTTTTTGTATCGTATGGAAATGATAATTCAATCACACTCTCAATGGAACGCTCTCTTGCCCATCAGCCAATTGAGCTTTCCATCATCGGTTTAGATTGACTGACGGCCCTTGCTATTTCATACCCATGAGCTATTCCTGGCTATTCTTGGCTATTCTTGGCTATTCCTAGCTATTCCTAGCTATTCCCCCGCAATGGATTCACATTTCCCCGCATTCCTTTCACGACAATTGGTTTATTGATTGACCGAGAAATCCGCAAGTAAGAAGAAGAGGCCGTCTTGGGTTGGTGTGACAAGAGTAACAACAAGAGAAATGGCATTGGAAATCAAAAAGCTTGGAAATGTGGTAAAATGGAAAGAAAATCATCCGACCAACTATCAAATGTGATGAAATTATCCATCACGATACACGTTGATTCTCACTTGGGTATTTGAAGGTCCGATTGATGATGCAGTGAGATGAAGAAATGCAAGGCAAGCCTCACAATTACTAAGGCCGATAACACACATTTGAACAATACACCAAAAATAGATTTTCGTCTAATGAAAAAAGAAATTTCAGAATCTATATAATATATTTATAGAAATCTAATAAAAAAAGATAGAATTCAACCTTATTGAAAACTTTTTATAAAACAAATTATATCATTAAATAACCCTTAAAATTAACTCTATTTATCTATTTTTAGAATTTATTTTGAAACTTTCTATAAAAAATATACTAATATTTAAAATCTATTTTCAAATAGTTTTCCTTATAATACATAAACCACTCCAAAATAAACAAAATAAGCTTAATAAGAATTCCTTATCTCAATTTTATTTTGCTTAAATAATATAACTAATATCGCTTTAGTTAAATTCTATAATATTAAAAAAAAAATTAATTCAATATATAACCCTAAAGGAGCTTATAAAATAAAAAAGAAAATAATACAATTATCAATTAGAATTCAAGAAATCGATTTATATAATCACTTTTAAATTATTTCAAAAATTGAAATTTATATTCAATATAATATAATTTTAATCAATAAATCCATTAATTATAGATACCTCAAATATTAAAATTAATAACTCATTAGATCTCTAATAAATTGATAACTAATTAAACCTTGAATAATATTATCAATATTAAAAAAAACATTCAATTCAATATACAACCTTAAAGGAATTAATAAAATAAAAAGAAAAGAATTACAATTATTAATTAAAATTTGAGGAATCAATTGATATATTTCTTTTTGAATTATACCAAAAATTGAAATTTATATTCAATTTAAAAGTATTTAAAAAAATAAAAAATTCAATTCTGAAAGTTGATTATTATTCAAATTTATTAGAATACTTTTAAATTAAATAAAAATTTCGATTTTTGAGATAATTCAAAAAGAAATATATCAATCGATTTCTTATTTTCTAATTAATAATTACACTTCTTTTCTTTTCATTTTATTAGTTCCTTTAAAGTTGTGTACTAAATTGAATACTTTTTTTTGTATAAAAACACACTACTAAATTCTAAATACAGTTTTATCTTAAGCAAAAATCTATTTTTGGTGTATTATTCAAATGCGCGTTATCGGTCTTAGTATAATGCTATAAGACAGAATGGAATCTTCTGTGCACAAGCCACGGATTGAGCACACACACGTGATACAGTAGCTAATCCATCTAGAACCAAGTTTTGTTCTCAAATGCTTCATTTTCTTCAAAAGAGTAGGCCGATGACTCTACATGATATCCTCTTCTTGAATACCCAACATATTTCTTTCACTAACTCGTACTTCATATCGATCCGGCACGTGATACCCATAGTCCACATTCCCCCACTCCAAACTTCCATAGACTTCATCGCTACCCCTTCATTCCCTATCAACGCCAAATTTATGACAAAGATTCTGAAACTTCAACTCTAATTCGAAAAATCTATTCTTATCTTTCTCGATATCTCGCTGCAATTCCAAAACTTGATCATGAGAGCGCCGTTCCTCCACCACGCTTCGAATGAGTTGCTCTTCCTTTTTCGCAGATGCAATCACTTGCTCGGAGTATCTATCTTCAAACATACGGCATTTACTCTCCAGTCCCTGATTGTTATATTTTAATTCGTTGAGACGTGCCTCGAGATCCGCGGTAGCTTTTGCGATTCCTTTCCTCATTCTATCAGCTTCCGCATGAGTGCTTGTTCGCCTGGCGTTGTTGATAGCTTTGGCGTCTCGCAAATCAATTTCTAAGGACTTGATCGTCTTGGAACAGTTGCTATGACTTTGCTTTATTTCGGAGATTGTCTTGAAAATGTCTTCGGACTCGGAGGACTTGGTGGCAAGAGCTTCCGTGGCTTTTGATAGCTCTTGTTCCTTTTCCGTTAAAGCCGCAGTATTCTTGGCCAGTTTGGTGTTAAGCTTTGCCAGTGCTTTTGTCGAACCTTGCTTTATCTTTTGCAAGTCTGTAGAAGCTTGCTCTGCCTTGGTGGTGGTAGCCTCCAGAATAGTAGCCAACTGCCCAAGTTCCTTCCTGTGCCTGGCCTCTGTATCTTGCTTCGCTTGTCGGAATGCTTGTTCCCGTTCTATTGCCTCTTCTTTAAGCTTCTTGATTGTGTCTTGCAATTCCCTCGTCTTGCGCTTCTCTCCCTCTTTTTCTAAAAGAAGCAGTGAAATATCTTTCAAGTGGCTGCACTCTCCATGTTTCAACCTTTCGGTCTCCGCTTTCGCTTCCTGCAGCTCATTAACTATCATCAAAGATTCCTTCCTTAATTCTAAGAGTTCTTGGATATTGATCTTCCTCTTCTCTTCCGAGATACTGAAATTTCTATTCGCAATCTCTGTTACACCCTCCGCGAGCTTCAACTTAAATTCTGAGCGCTCAGCTTACACTGAAGGGGAACGAGTTGAGGTTACGATTCGTTCAAATTTTCTTCTTCGGGACAGTATTTGTAGCCATAGGGTAAACCACTTTCCTTGGACTCTTTAAGCAGTTGTCGAACTTCATCGTTAACCTGTTGTGTGATATTAGCTAGAATAAGACATCAATAAGCTGCTGGAGATAATTTACCTTAAATACAACTTGGATGGCGTCTGGTAAATTAGTCATTTTTTGATGAGAATCTTTATTGTAAAGATTCAGAGTTTCGAGATATGTTTCTTCAGCAGAGGGAGATGTAAGAAAAGATGACGCAGAAAGAGGGAGTTTAAAGGAGGTACTGTGGAATAATGTTTTTTTGTGTGTCTAAAGAAGAATTGTTGCAATCCAGAGAAATAATTATGAAGACCTGAACAAGTTTTAACTTACCTAACTTCCTCTAATCTCTGGAAACAGCTCTCTCATCTCCAAGAATTACCTAGGCATGGCAAGTTTATTATTGGTATTATCTGTAATGACCTCGGGAATATTCATAGATGAATGATCGTAGGTGAATTTCAAAGGATGAATAAAGTCCGAGCTTGATGATTCATCTTTTTAAGAAAGAGATACCTATACATATTCATATCGTCTCCTTCTCATCTGTCAAGTTGATTAGTTATTTGAAGATGTAGAATGAGTATATCGTTTGATCTGAGATGATGATTTAACTATTATCATCTAATCATCGTCTGACTAGAACTTTCATTCTAGTCACCTCGAGACAAATCTTGAAGATGATACATACCCAAATAATAAGAGATACTAAAGTATTCTCATCCAAGATATCAGAATGTGGATCTTTTTTTTATTTTTTATTAGTATGCTACATAAATAAATGTATATACGAAGCCCTCATCCCTCCATAAAGCTATAAATCACACTCATTCTCACCCTCTCTCATCATTGACTCCAAGATTTTTCTGTCTCGAGAAACCTACAATTCCTTGCCCCGAAGATGATTTTTTGTAGATTCTTAACCTCCACATATAGTAGATCTTCAGAAATTAAGCTGCGTATATCACATCTTTCCACTCCTCACTCCCGAAATCTCTTCCACTTTCTGAAGAAATAAACATCTCACCAAAATCCGAATCATTATTCCAAACTATCGATGCTAGATTTCGAATTCAGAATTCGTGACATGGATGAGTCCAATTGATGTGACTTCGGAATTCTTAAATATTCCGAATGGTAGATAGTTATGAAACAGACTTATTTTATTTTATTTTTGTTAGACGAGATGGAATCGACACCTCGCTTAGATTCATCAAGTTTGAATAAAGAAACAAGCTTAGCAACCTTAGTAGAGTTATGCGTAACCGGTATATAGTGTATACATCGTGTAGGGACCGTATAAGCTAGCTTACACAATATAAACCTTCCCACCATTTGTATACTATATATAATCCCTACACAATGCATACACGGTGTATACACAGTATAAACTTTTTTACACAAAAATAAAATATAGTATAGCACAAGCTGGGAATAGCTTCAAAATCAAAAAATCTTCAATTTCAACTTGATTTGATTAGTAATCAAGATGGTATTGATGAATTTTTTTATTCGAAGTCATATATACTACCACTACACTACAGGGAATATCAATTTGAATATAATGACTTAATAACTTAAAATTATATTCAGTATTGATTAAAAATTTTATTGAATAAAATTATTGCTTAATAAATTATATAGAAAACATATAAAAAAGCTTACACCTTATAAACAAACTACATCATATAGAGAATTCTACACTATATATACACTATATAAATTCGCTACACAATGTATACACTATATACCGGTTACGCATAACTCCACTAAGGAAATTACAATTATCTACTCGTTAGTGAATATGAAGACCTGAGATCAGTCAAACACGAGGCAAGGTAGATTCACCACGTATCAGAATCATCTCAGTCTATCAACAGGATAGATTGAAGAGAGATGATTTATGTCACGAGATGAGCGCATTTTGCATACCTACTCAAGTAAAGTTCTGTTTTTGATTTTCCAACTTCGTCAGAACATGATAGGGAGGTAATGCATGTGCGTAATGAAAAATTACGAGGTGTGGCAAAAACGTACCGCGAGGTAGCTTCACGTCGTGCGCTACTGGTAAAATTATGCAGGGGCTCCGTATGAGTGATGGGAACTCTAGATGAAGTGAAGTTCACTAGAGAGTAGATCAGAAGAGTGCTATAAAATCTCCTCTCAATAAGACGAGGAATTTTCACTGCATTCCTAGAGCTCTTATATATGTATCATGTACATGTGCTTGCTAGAGCTATTTGCAATAAATAAGGTGAAACAGTCACGCTAAGAATTCTTCCCGAAGACTTCCTGGAAACAAAGTATTCGCATTCATAAAAGAATATGGCATTTGATATGACTGAAAATATACCATTTTTTGCAGTAGAAGCTTCACAAACTGTTCTAAATTTGGTATCTGGCATTGTGCTTTACGTGAAAGTATATAATCCCGTCTTGAGAAGAATAGAGAAATAGAAAAGTGAACGGGACTCTAACAAAAACAAGATGATGAAAACGGGAAACACCAAAGCAAAATTTTTATATCTAAAACTATTGTGGCATATATAATAAGAAATAGCAAAACCAATGGCATGAACAAACAATACTCCCGTACCTGAACGCCTACCCCTCCATTTTACCATTTTCTACTCCATAAAACTTTAAGAAGGATGGTAAGTCAAAGCAGATTAACAAAATAAACAGACCATAAGAGCGACTAAAAGCACGCCAGCTGCCTACCTCTATCCAATTCATCCACTTCCAGATGGCTTGTCTCGCTTCTTCCTTCCAGCATCAGCTGTCGCGCCTTCAGCCCTCTTTTTGCTCTTCGATCGTGGTGCTCGATTATCACTACTAGAGGAATGCAGATCATCCGACGAAGTGGGTGGCACGGTACTAAGAGAATCTGTTCTTCTCGCCTGGAAATCTCGTTTTCTTGATTCTGTAGTTTTGCTGCTACTGGAAGCCTCTACCCTTTTCCCATCTTTGGTAGAAACTCGCTCACCTCTGTCTGTATCGCCTCTTTCGCGGCGGTCGCGTTCACGTATTGGTACCTGTGCGGGATACTCGGGACTGGAACTTGAAGCTAATCTTCCACGCTCATCTATTGATGTGTTGGATCTTCTAGGATCTCCTTTCGAGGTTGATCGAGATACATCGATTGGGGCGCTTGGCTGTAGTGAGCGCGGCTTGTCAGACATCTCACGTCGTTCTCCTCTCTCTTTTTCCCTATCTCCCCTTTCAGATCTTCTTGTTTCTTTCCCTTTCCCTTTCCCTTTCCCTTTACCTTCGTCTTCATTTCTTTTTTCTAATTCTTTTGCTCTTTCTCTCCTTTTGTGTCTTTCTGATCGCTCTTCAGGAGTCTCTTCTTGGCTTGAAGGCTGGTCATCTGATCTGTTGTCCCTTCTATCTCTGCTTCTAGTTCTATCGCCTCTGCTATCACCACTTGGAGTTCCACGTCTCGACCCACTTGTTCCTCCCGTTGCTCTACTCGGAACTGCGGATGGAGCTCTGTCACTTTGCGATTGAGAATCGCTAGTTGTAGTAAGCGCAAAGTCCGAACCATTCGGGTGATCTTTGATCAGATTGATTGCTGCACTTATAATGTCGGCATCGCAATCCAACCCTGGATCTCTATATTCATCCCATGTCCGTTTATCCGGTTCCCACAATCCCACCATCTTGGCCCTTTCCATATCTCTTTTTCTTTCCATCATCCAAAATCTCATTTCCGTTGATGCACATGTGACTGCATACAAAAACGGTATATGGGCGTTGTCCGTCAGCCATTTGCGACAATATTTTTCCACTTGATTCTCCAGCGCAGTAATTTCAGCTGGTGTCATATGTTCTCTGCGTTTTGGATGTCGTTTTGCTTCAATCATCATCATAGGCTGTTGGAGCATGTGAACAGTGATGTAACCCAGTAAATTGTCCACTTGTTCTTCTGGACCCTTCCTTGCCCTGACTCCGAATTGAGATTTCAAGAAAAACTGTTTTTCCGAAAATTGTGTTGGTAACCATATCTCAAAGAATCCTACTGTTTCGGATTCTTTTGCATTGTTTCCCTGAATATCTAACCCTGCTTTGGTGGAGAGATAAGCTTCCTCTTGGCGACGAGTAATAAGACCATGGTTTGTCCAAGTACTTTTGTTGGTATGTTTCTCCCAAGCTGCCTTTGCCTCTTTGTGCGCTGTGCTTGCCGATTTTTTGTTCAGGTCGAGTCTAATACTTTCATAAAATTCCACGTCGTTTCTAATCTTTTCCTTCTCTTTTTCTCTTACATCGGGGTGAACAGGTACCTCTTTTAGCGGAGTTGGCGCGCTCTTCCAGTTAGGCGCAGACATTTTTCGTAAGAAAAGAGTAAAATTTCTTGTGATAGAAAGTTAGTATGTACGGTATAATATACTCATATTCAGCAGTTCAAGCCTGAGTCAAGGTTGGGATCCACATACTTTACTGAATTGATATGTATGAACTTGCAAGTTTGGATCCTCTGTGTCCGAACTAATTCTCCAAGAACACTCTCGATTCCAATTCAAAAAATTCGTCTTTACTTCAAACAAATCACAAGAGCAGTGATTGTAAATTCAATTCGTGTGATGGGACTATGATACGAATTGACCATCGTCGAGTTGGCTCTCTTTGTATTAAAGTCCCGATGCCTGATAAGAATAACATCCAACAATTACAGTGCCGTTATGTAAAGACCTCACCCCAAATCACCGGACCTACTACTATTGTCAATAATCTTCACGTATCTGCTGAAGTCGTTAGTGTTTGACCAAAGAGGCTTCAGATTCCAACGTGAAAGTAACGACACTCCCGGCAAAATCTAGGGCGCAGAATCAATCTCGTAAAATTATTATCCGAAAGACAAATCCTTACTGGATGAAACCCATGCTTTTCATCATCCATAGGACACAATTGAGGTCTCCTAAATAGGGTTGTGGAGTTTTCCCTCAACTTTTTTCCAAATCCCGCTTCGTAGCACGACCGGCTGTCCTTCAACTATCCTGTAATCATACATGGGAAAAAGGAGCCTAGGGCCCATGACAGGCGACCCTAAACGCCAACCGTATTGCTCGTAAATCTATTTGGTCGAGGTCAGTCCTGTAAGTAAGCAGGCTACCGTGTTAGACGACACAGCTTTTTATAGTGGATACTTGACTACAAGCGAGGGGACAAGAAATAGACAAGAGGATATGCCCCGATAGGGAAGGTCAACATCTATGCACTTTTCGTTACATGACTTCTAAATACTATACTCGGGATGAAAAATATGAAGAATCTCCTATAATGATGACTTCATACATTTAATAAAAATCCTACTTGTTTTTCATAATTTTTTCCTTCCCTCGTGAAACTACCACATCAATTGATAATAACTGTCATCAAATACTACCGTCCACCAAAGTTTATCAAAATCATCACAACCCGCAAACTCACTAATCTATATAGCTCGCATTAAATCTCAAAATTGGTCCTAGCCACGTATCATAATCTTCAATCTTCCCCACCTTTCCACCCCATCTCAGCACGCTTGCGAAAAATCGATAATCACCATCTCCTACATTATAGCTCACTCCATCATCGCCAGTAACTTGTGCACTCGTCCAATATTGAATATAGTTACCTGGCTGTATTGGGCCACTTGCTACCGTCGCCGTACGGTTCGTGTAAGTTCCAAAGGATGGATATCCAAAGATCGACGATTTGGGAGTGGATTGAGAAGAAATGTAGGGGAAGGTTTGAGATGTGTTAAATGCGTGTGTATTAGCTGTAATATTTGTATTGGCGGGTAAGAGATCGAATCTGAATGCAAGTGTATACTGTTGTGGAATATCAGCAGCTATTCCATATTGCCTGGTCGGATTGATCTCGAGGAACCCAGTGTCCTTTTCCGGTGTTCCAGCCGAGTTGAAACCAGCAACCTGGATAACGGAGATGTATGATGCATTGAATACTGAATAGGGTGGTCCGATGTAGGGAACTGTGTATGTTTCACCGGCAGAAGAGCTGACTTGGATGAAACCACCGAAGACGGGACGATTTGAAGCAACGATGCCTATGGGGGGACTGATAGAAAAGTCGATGGTTTTAGACTCACCACCTGCGAGAGTGACAGTAGGGGTGGGGAAAACACCAGTTCCGTAAAGCGCAATCTGGTTGTAGTTTCGTCCGGACAATTGGCCATCCGTGTAGCCAGCACCGATATGAGATAGAGTGTAGGTCTTGCTAGATCCTGACGTATTATCAATGGTGATATTTGCAGCACCAAAAATAGTGTGCGTACTATCATCCTCAAGAACGATCTGCCCGGGAGAAATTGCGGTTTGCGCGTAGATGGCATTATATGCATTGATGAGACCCGCACCCTGTTGTGCAGTCGCGGAAAGGATCGTGCTATTCCAGACCCAATTGACTGGCTTAGCTGTAGTTTGTAGCAGATTCAATATTTGAGATATGCTGGCGGTGGGAAATTGGGATTTAACGAGCGCAAAACATCCTGCGACATAGGGAGTGGCCATTGAAGTCCCAGATAAAATCGCGTAATTGGAATTTACGCCTAGAGGATAGCTCGAGAGGATATGTCCGCCAGGTGCAGAGATTTGTGGTTTTAAATCATAAGTGAAATAGGTTGGACCGAAATTCGAGTAATAATCAACCAAGCCTCCTGAGTGTTGCGGAGGACTCTTGAATTTGTTTCCCGTGAATGTTAAAGTGTATTTGGGAAAACCTCCAACTGAACCATAATTGTTGACAAGAGTGATTCCATCATCGGTGTTAAGATTGACATATTGTACTGCGCCGAAGTACGAAGGACTGAAGACATTATACTCGAGTAAGTAAGAATTTGCAATGTCTGAATTGTAGCCGATGATATAGACAGGTTTTTCCTTACTTGAACCCCAATTCGAAGCAATCGAATTCGGATTGCAGTAAGTAGTCGTTTTAAATGCCTCGAAAGCAAAGATTGTGGCATTTAAAAGACCACTTTGACTGACGGTATTGAGAGCATTAGTCCATGCTGAGCTATCACACCCATCGGACACAAGATATACATATACAGGAACAGTGAGGTTGACTGGCCAAACAGATGCATAGCCGAGAGTAGAATTGGCAGAATCCACGGCCGGATAGACAAGCGGAAAGTCGATGTTTGCAATGGCTCCAACAGCGATGGCACCGGGCTCCGTGGAAGGATAATCTGCAGTGAACAACTCAGTAGCATATTGACCCAGAGAGCCTTCATTCCCGACTGCGACAATCACAGCAATTCCGGCTTGGGTAATGCTCTGTACGACAGAAGCCAATGGATCTTTGTTTGAAGGGAATTCAGTTCCAACCGCAAGGGACATGCTGATAATATCAACACCATCTTCTTGTGCTTTCAACATGCCGGCCATAATAGTGTCACTACCACCTGCATCTGCGCAATCAAAAGTACGGTACATGTAGAGATTAGCCTCAGGAGCGACGCCGCTGATTGGAAAGTATCCATCTTCAGATATGGGATCCATTCCAAGAATACCTGAAGAAAATTAGCTTTTGTTGAGTAGCGAAGGGGGCAGAGCCCGCTCACCTGACACGTGGGTTCCATGTCCTCCAGTGAGACACGTAGATAATGGGTCTGAACTTTCCCCCAAGGTTCCGTTATCGTATACGAAAGAGTATCCACCAGTGATTTTGAAACCAGTTCCAAATCCTCCACCTAGTGCAGGATGGCGATAATCAACCCCGGTATCTACAATCCCAATTTTGATTCCTTTGCCTTTAATGCCATTTGCATGTAACTTATCAATGCCACCCATCTCGAGAGCTGAGGCCAAATCTCCTGTTCCAGTCACTGTTGATTGTCTTTTTCGTACCGACGGAAAATCTGCATTGGAACTATCGTTTGTGTAATTTGAAAGTACACCAGGATGAGGAACTTCGTAGACTGGCCAGACACCTCCTACTCCAGAGATTTCTGAAAGCTGTCGTTGCAAGTCCACATTGGTACCACTTTGGGTGACAGAGATAGAAAGGCCTACAAATGCTATAGAATCGAATTCGTGACGGACATCGTAGCTGATTGAGGCCGCACGTTTGTGGAAGGCATTGTGGAGATGTCGTTTGGATACAGAGGTGTTAACTCCCTTTTCCAGTTCAATAAAGAATGCCTTATCAACCGTGTTGGCGTTTGAATATAAGGTACTATCATCCGCGTTTCTGTATCCCAAGTTACTGCGTGGTAGAGTAACTCCATTTACAGCGACAACGAATGCTAGTAACGATGAAGAAAGAAGCATATTTCGGGTCTTCAAAAGAATCCAAATAACTAGAAGACACCCCCTTTAGACGGATCATAAGTGATGATTAGAGCGTCTTTATAGTTTACTCGCACTTGACCGCTCCGGTCTATCACATTGTGTGATTGCGAAGAGGGGGGAGGAGAGAACCATTCGGACGGCCCGCAACTCTTTTGGCTTAGCAGTACTGAGATGTAATTCATTTAATTTTCAGACAACCATCACTGAAGTTTTGATTCACCTAACGTCATACAACTTTGGACAGGGTTGAGAAGGACCGTTTGTAGATTCCAGAGGCACAATACCAACGCGATGATACATGATGATTGGATAGAATGCATATCAAGGTCAGGATTAAAGCTCGTTGAAAGTTCGACAACTGTCGGTCTTGACTAATATCGGATTCAATACTGCATGTGGATGAAGTGATTTTGCACAGATTCGAATGCATATGAGATGAAAGTCAAGAAAAAACTAGGATTTCCACCGGGGATGATTAGACTTTCAACACGCTTGCAAATTAAAGAGTGGAGACAGGAATATGTGAGATTAAGCTTCATTCCCATAATATCCTTCCAGACTTACGAGATCTGACCCAATCCCGGCTGTTGACTATACATGCATTCAAAGTTATTGATTTGAAATGGGCAGAGATGAATTTCACGACACCCAATGTCTAGATAACAACCCCAAGTCTTGACAGGGAGCAAGGATTTGACCAATCGCGAGGCGCCGATATTGTGCTGAACAACCTCAATTGATGTAGGGGTCTTTATCAAAAGATGGAACCAAATTGGTTCTTCTTCTCCTGTCCACTGGGACTCGAGCAGGGTGGCAGGCACCTCATGCATCTAATAGTCAAAAGAGAAGGTGCTATACACACTGGACATCGTTATTTTGTAACAATAAAACGCATTCGATAAGGAAAAGTGGTGACTTCTGTTGAACAGAATATGTCATATATATTTGTGTAACTGTAGTTAGATAAATGCACTTATTAATTCCTGGTTTGGATTCAGTAGTATAAACGAGATATCTGCTCTAGATCTATCAGAAACGGACAACATCTATCCAGAATGGTATGATTGTAACGTAGGCAAAGAGGAAAAACAATATTTGATCTTTCTAACCTTATCAGCGATATTGTACAAGCTGACGATAAGCAATATCACGCCCGGATATCAATCGTATAATGCTGTAAATAACTAGGTGTCAAATCAGAAGGAGTTCGAGTTTGAGTAATAATCATAAAGCCATCGAATTTTGCCTCAAACCTTGGGTGGTGTTATGCGGATCAGAACGGTACACCCGCTACAAAAAAAGTTGCTAGGCGTTGTAAGCAATCCTTCTCGTTAAAACAACAGTCCAACGTTCTGCATATAAAGTCTGCATCTAATATTGAGAGGCGTTTCTATGCCGGGCACGCAAGACTTGCATTTAATTTCTGGATCTCGCCTGATTAGGTAGGGCCTCGTCTTCGGATGCGGCTGGGCCTCATGATTGCATGGGCGGGCATAGGTAGACACTGCAAATCAATTCTTCAGAAATGCTTTTATCTACTTGTGGAGCAGCATGATTTGAGTTACTGACGCTCGTCTCTAGGTCTTTCAAACTTCGACAACAGCGTCTGCAGCATGAAATATTAGTAGATCCGCAATTTGTTGATTTCGATCTCGTAACACATGTAGATATCGTTGCATTTTAGAGTCAATGAGACCCTAGGACGTTTTCGGAGTAAGTTAAAGGACATATTTCGAGTCTAATAATCTGCAGCTCGGCTTTCTGAATGCGTTCATGGTACATATCGGCACCGATTCCGAGCAAGTTGACCAAGCTAGCTGGACGTACCTGCAGGTGTCCTCGTATTGATATAAAGCACACTTGAATGGACGATTGACTGCACTGTCTTGAAAAACTTTGGGAATATCGAATTTCATTGTAAATGTAGATGATAGCATATACGATTGCTTGCGAGCGCTTTTTGAAGAGTTCTCTGAAAGCAATGGCAGAAAACATAGCCACGAAGAAGTTACATCGGTCGGTCTTCAACTAAATAAGTTAGGACGATGTCTCATTGAGCGAACAACCATGACTATGCTTTAAACAAGAATCATCAGGAACTTGTTCTTTCGACCATTGAAATCCCAGAGTGTTACGTAGAATCCAGATGACTGTTGATCTGTTTATTTCCAGAATATCGATGGAAGAGAATTTGTAAGAATCAGCTGGATCTATTCAGAGAAGATATCGGTTTGACGTGATGATATATATCGACTTTGTAGTGATGACCATAAAACTTATAATTGACACATTCCTTTGACCTTTAGCGGGTTTTCTTGCCATTGATTGATGGCTGTGAAGGCGCATTTTTCACTTCCCATTTCTCCCAACCAGCCTGGCATAAATCTTCCTCCACAACTAAATCTCTCATTCGGAATAATCTCGTCACTGGCAGATTTAAAATCCATGCAAGTAACCCTGACTTTCTCACAACAGTTGTAAATAAGAACCATAACGTAGCACTCCCTGCTCCGGCTAAACAACCAACGATTACCTGTTTTGGTGTGTGGTAGTTCAAATAGATCCTGCTCCAAGCTACCAGTCCGGCGTTGATCAAGACTAGTCCAGATAGGCCAATCCGGGCGGTGATACTCAGTGGTGTATGCGAAGGTGTTGGCTTCCTTGGGACATGTCGAAAAAGTAAAAATAGTGTCAAGCTTATTGAGAAGAAAGCCACGAACTGGGAGTGGGAAGATGGCATTCCATAGCCTTTTCCATGCATTTGTTTTGGGCGTTCTTCCTTCAGTATACGTTTCAAAATGAAGTTCAACGCCTCACATGCCATTTGTCCACCAAACATCATGAGAATTTCGATTTCGCGCGTCGACCAGATGAGAGTGGCATACACGACGCATAGTCCTTGGGGTACGAGAGCGAGCCATGCGCAGAAATAGGAGACTGGATCATTAGGGTCCTGAGTCCAATTAGCATAGTTCGCACGGAGAGCAGAGCTGGCACATACATAATGAACATGCGTCAAGGAAAGTGAGGCTAATGGAGTTTCTGCCATGTTGATAGTCTCGCGCTGAATGTTGCGAATAGATCGCACTCCTTGTAGACACTTCTCACAATTGAGGCTCAAAGCTCGTTATTCGGGAGGGGCTTGCTAAGTGAAATCTGTTACCTCATTTCTATGTGGGTATTCAATGTGATACTCCCACTGGGTATCAAATCTACGAATCTTTTATCGTAGAACTTGGCCGGTGACGGTGGCTCGGGTGGGTTATCAGAGGTCTTTAAAGGCGGCATGACATTTTCGTTAAAGCAGCTCTGTAAAACAATTCCATCATCCTCAGATTACGCCCCATCATAATTATCAATACACATCCCCGGCCGCCACTGAGAATATCTTTCCCTTACTTTCACCAACTTTTAGAACTGTGAAGTCTGGATGTCTTGGTTGTTTCGCTCATATTTATGACCTTAATGGTCGAATCACTTCTACTACCTAGAGAACCTAGAGCAGAAGTTGTTCTATTGGCTTGTTTCGCTGTTCGTCTTTTTATCTTCCACCAAGATGGAGGATCAGCGAACAGAGGAGTTTGAATGCGTCGCCGCTATCTTTCCTGAAATCGAATTCGACTCCAGTAACAAGTTTCGCGCATCCATCGAACTATCTGTTAAGCCCGGAAACCCGGTCACTGTCTCGTTTCCCACTGCATCCGATGGTGTGCTAAACTTTCCTACCCCGCCATTGTCTGCCAGTTCTGATAACGCGGAGGGCAATGCAACCAATAATCCCTTAGCTAATAATACCGAATCGCACGAAATCACGTATCTACCGTCACTACAACTGCACATTACTTTACCAGAAGGTTATCCGGAAATCGAACCTCCCAAGTTTGAGCTGTCCACAACACCCGCATGGCTTCCTCGAACCCGCCTTGATGAGCTCGAGGCCGATGGAGTTCGCATGTGGGAAGAAATGGGTCACGATTTAGTGGTGTTCGCATACATCGATTCGCTACAACAAGGAGCTGAGAATGCCTTTGGTTATGGCGAGGAGGACAAAATGTTAGAGATTTCACAAGATGATAAGATCGCTTTGCTCGATTTCGACATCAAATCTATACAAGAAGCATTCGACAAGGGAACTTACGATTGCGGTATCTGTCTAGGTAGTGTGACTCTGGCTTCTTATTGCATCTATTTGCTGACTTGACTCCAGATCCAAAAAAGGGTTCCGCTTGCCACAAGATGATCGATTGCGGGCACGTCTTTTGCATCGAATGTCTACAGGATTTCTATAACAATGCGATTAAAGAGGGTGACTTAATATCAGTCCGATGCTTGGCCCCGAATTGCGCAAAAGAACGAGCCGAAAAATCCACCAAAAAATCTCGAAAGTCAAAAACTCAATTGAGTCCCAGCGAACTTCTTCAAATACCTCTTGAACATGATGTTGTAACACGATTTGTCAAACTCAAGCATAAAGCTCAACTGGAATCTGATAAAAACACTGTTTACTGCCCACGAGCTTGGTGTAACGGAGCCGCTAGATCAAAGAAATATCGCAAACCAGAAGGTCTTGAGGATGATGAAAGTTCAGATGATGAATCTGAAACGGAGATGAAAGGAAAGGGAAAGGGATTTGTTGCAGGAGCGGACCTTATCGCAATCTGCGAAGACTGTTCTTATGCTTTCTGCAGTCGATGTTTACAGGGATGGCATGGGGAATTCAAAGCTTGCACTCCAAAGAGAGAGAAAGAAGAGCTTTCTGAAGAAGAAAAGGCGTCGCTGGAATACATGCAGCTTCATACCACACCTTGCCCTACATGTGCCGCCCCGGTTCAGAAAACACACGGGTGTAACCACATGATCTGTTTCAGATGCAATTCCCATTTCTGTTATCTTTGCTCTGCTTGGCTGGAACCAGCAAATCCTTACAAGCATTTCAATCAAGAAACTACGGGCTGCTATCAACGACTTTGGGAACTCGAAGCGGGTGATGGGGACGATGTGGGGCGCGGTTTTGGTGGTGGAGTACAGGAAGCAATCATTGAGGTCCCTCAGGAGGAGATAGAAGAACCTGAGGTGGAGGAACCAGAGCAGGAAGTTCGGGGGCCTGGCGAAGAAATTGAGCAAGGTGAACGACAGGAGGTAGAACGACAAGCCCCTCTCGTCTTGCGTCTAAATCAGCCTCGTCAAGTTGCACAACCTGCCCCCGCAGTCCCTGATGCTCCGCAGGCACGTCGTGGGCAACACAATCGAGGAAATCGACAGAATCAGGCTCGTGGTAATGGGGCTCCTCGTGGTCGTGCTGGTGGTATGAATAGACCAGAAATTCCACGGCAAGGGGCTGGCAGAGGTCGAGGTCGGGGTCGGGGTCGAGATGACATGATTGCCGATGTCCAAGATCAGGATCAGCATGCAGCAAATCAGGCTTGGGTCCAGAGATTTGTACGCATGGCATTAAATGACGAAGAAGATCAGTTGGAGTGGGATGATGACGAAGAAAACCATGCCGCCTGGGAAATACCAGTTCGGTAACAGATATGATAATTATTAATAGAGTCGGATCAAGGACGTGGATTGCGATGGCGCTGGCGATAGAAATTACATATTTAGTGGCGTTACACGGTTTGTCATTTTAGACGATTGGGATATCTTGGTTTGCATATTAGCGAAGGGGGCGTGGATGAAGGAGTACGTCGATCTGCCGGAAATATTTGACATGACACATACTTTATCTAGTTATTAAGAAATGTTACTCAATGAGTGCCTACATAAGAGTTGTAATGTATCAACCTCTTTCGAACTCTTTCGATGTAGAAAGCATCTCGTCGGAGGGGACATAAATTCAACCACCAAAAGTGCCATCTTTTGCGATATTCACAGCAGTTTAAGACATGAATAAAAGCTCTAGTGAGCCTTATCAATCGATAGGTAGGTAGTCAAAGTAACAATTCGATTTGAGACATGGGGCTTTTCGTAACACAGAACATTGGACGTTGAAAAATCAAGTAAACCAGCCGTTAGTCCCTGGCTATGATCGCTACTATCGATGACATCACGACTTAATAACAAGCTGTCGCCAATAACACACAAATTCATATAGCCTTCGATAAAACCACGCAAAATATACAACGCCTAGATTTGTATCATCGAACCAATCTCGAAATTGACAACCTTAACAATCCCTTCATCTCCAAAAATGTCAACAGGTCCCTCGACCACCACACCCGCCTCTAATCATGAACCTCACCCCGATCCCATCGCTCTCACTGCAACTCCTGAAAATCATAAAGAAATAAACTATACGCCTGATCCCACATTATCTATCCGCCTCTCTCCTTCGCGTCAGAAGATCGTAACAAGTATTACATCGCTTTACAGCGGGAGCTGTGTGGATGGAGGCACCGGGGAGCAAGACATGCATGTTTATTCTGAAAAGGCGATTTATGATGATCCGTGGAGTTATTGCGATACGAGGTTTAAGATTGCGGGACAGTGGTATGGTGAGTTGTTTTCCGTGTGAAAGACGTGAATAGAGATTTGATCCTGAGATGAGTCCAGAGTGGGACAAAATGCCAAGTGTAGATTTGACGAACAGATTCAAGAGAAAGAAAACTAATCCGAGACAATGGAATAGGGATACCTATGATAATGGGATCATCTGAAACTCTTGCTACAGAAGTCGTGAAGTCTTCAGATGACGAAATTGTGTTTAAATTGCGGCAGGAGTATAGACCGAAACACTTGCCAAAAGGAAAGGTTGTTGATAGTATGTGCTTTCTTCTCCTTTCAGTCCATTGTAGTCCCTTGAATTCATGTTTCCTCACTCAATATTTACCAAAGTACCTGAATACGTAACTTACGTACAATAGGTCTTATCAGCTTGAAGCTTGTGAAAGAAGGAGATGAAGAGAAGGTTATTTATCACAAGGATATGTGGAATGAAAAAGATTATAGTCATGAGGGGTTGGGAAAAGTGTTCAAGACGCTGAATGGAGATTATTTGACTGGGATTACGAGACCTCCCAAGAGTTTGTAGAGGCACGAGGGTATTGCCTCTGAGCCTCATGGGACAGGAGAGGAGAAGGATATCGAGTGGTAAGGGGCAGGACGTTACTTTTACATATTTTCTCTTTATAATCGTATTTGGAAGCGCGTGAAGATATCTTTCGATACTTTACAGATAATTACCAATCGCAACTTGCCATCTCTTTGTGCGGAAAAGGCACTATAGCTTAGGCTGCGCAAAACTAATCTACACTGGTGGAAGATGTACAGATTATTCATTTTGCAAATACTTTATTAAAGATACTTCCTATACTTTGAACTATCTACAAAGCCTTGCTTTGTGGTGGTCCTTCTTCGTTGTCTCTAATTCGTATAATCAGCTATGTGATATCATCCCTTCTTCACATCGTTCTATGTTCAGTGAATCTGGCTCTAGTCTCCAGCTTAATAGTTGGCTCACATTCTATCAAGTGAAATACACTGCTAGAAAATCCCTGACGGGATCCCCTCCCTCCCCGTGAAGCTTTCTAATCACTGGAATGTTACTTCTATCCATCAATCTCCGGAGGCACTCTTTCTATAATCCATGGTATCGATTGAACCCATGTCTAGCAACCCAGGTCTAGCATTTCCAAACGACAGATTCGGTTCTGTCCTAGCTGTACGTCCATGATACAGTATTGATAATTTATCTTCCACGGAGCTGGCTGGTGATTACAACACCGGCGACACCTAAAGACCACTTCATAAATTACTATTCGGAGATAGTAATATATCAACAGAAGATAGAAGATAGCAAGGTCAACTTAAGATATTCTCAGCAACCTCTGGTAGTGCCATATAGGCACAACAGGGAGCAGCACTTTTTGTCCAATTTTTTTCATAGATCAGGCCATTAGAATCAACCTAAAAGCTACCTCTAGATAGAGACAATGGAGCAAAATTCCACTTTTACTAGAAATCAACAGAAGATGTGAAAGATCAATACTCCCACGTCGCCACGCGTGGTAAAGACCAGCCATAACAAAAGAAAATCGACTCAACAGATCAACGACAACCCCCTAGACCACTCATTCCTATCCACCAGCACACGTATGCCCTCCCTCTTCTCTCAAACCCACAGAAAGTCACTCACCTCTTTGTCCACATCAACCATCTCCTCCCATTACCCACACCTACCTTGCCCAAAAAAGACCCTTTCTCGCCAATCTTCAAATCCATCATCTCAAACCACCCCCGTCTCACCATCCACCCATTTTCTAAATCTCCACTCCTTCCCGTCCCTTCCTCGCTAAGTCTTCTGCATAATTCAACTACACAAGAGGAAGCTCGAGGCGAGATCTCCACATATGTAGAGGGGAAGAAGTAGTTAGTCTAGGTACTGTGCATAGGGCTGCGAAAAGATCGACATGTGCAGACGTTAAGAGCGTTATTGTGGCGGCAGGGGTGGCGACGGAATACGAAAGAGAGGTCTATATTTGGATATTTGGAATTGGTGTGGAAGGATGGAAGGGATTGGGATTCTGGAATGCTCGAGAAGGGTGAGAGAAGAGTTATGGAAGGTGATCGGCGGTGGTAGCATAATTTTGGAAATGGAGTTCAAAATCAGATAAAGTTGTGTGATTTTAAAACATGTCAATATAATCAGTTTTCTAGTAGATGTCAAATTCAATTAACCTATCGCAACTAAAACTTCCCGTCCATTTGATCCCATCATCATGTTCAAAATTTGCCTCCCATCACTCTATCTCTTTCCCTCCCGCACCTCGAGTCAGAGAGAAAAGTCAAAAGATGAAACATCATGTCGGGAAGAAACACCAGAGTGAGCTAAGACCAATTTCGTCCGAGTCGCGAAAAGAAGCTGGATTCGCAATCTAATCTTATCATAGATAGTTTACAAGAGCTAATAGTAGTGGATGTCTGATCTCACCTATCGGATGGAAGACTACTTTTTGGATGATTTTGCAGTTTTGGATATTTTTGCTTGCTACTGTTACTGGCTCTGAGAACTCTGAGATAGAGGAAAATGAAGGAAGAGTGAAGTCGAATGATAGGGTGGAGATGGCATGGCACGAAGTGAATCTGGTAAATTTTGATCGTTAAAGAATAGGTATTGTCAAGGGGAGCTTTGAGAGCAGTGTGGGAATCGAGAAGTATCATCTCATAATGATCAATTCTCTAATAGAGGTAGAATATAATACAATACCCGGTACTTTTTATTCCACCAGGTCCATTATATCATCGTAAATCTCCTCTCCTTGTCTCTTTACCACCACGCGCTTGCCATACGACTCCCCTGAGAAAGAAAAACATAGAATGTGATCCTCTCCGGATTTTTCCGCCACACCCGCTACCACAAATTCTAGCAACATTCAAGGAAATTCTATCTCCCTCTAGAGCGGTAGAGTACAAAAAACGTATAATATATCCAACAAAAGAGATATCCATCCATCCATCCGGGGAGAATCTGCTGTTACCATCTTGGTGTTGATACAACACAGTATATGAACTCCGCATGGCACAATCGTAATCTTCCACCTTCCAATTCCTGCATATCCAAAGACCCTAATAATAGACATAAATGAAAAATAAAACATAAAAAACCAAACAAGCTGGTATCATTAGATCCGAATAAAACCCCCTTTCCCAAGTTACTCCATCCTTATTTTATTTGCCTCTACTCCTTTATACAAACAAATCCCGTCTTTAATCATTGATGACGCTCAAAATGAAAGTCCAATCATATCCATTGGCCATTGCTTCCCTGTCTTAGCCTAGACTGTCGACGATTAGAATCCGATATAGTGGGGATAGTCCTCACAGAACCTTTTCGCTGAGGCGAGTCTCCAGGTGGTGTGTAAACGGTTGGACTCAATTGAAAGATTGCATCCGAGTTCTCTAAGCGTTCGATTGCTGGCTGTTTTGGGGTTGAAGGGTTTGGAACCACTGGTAGAGTCTTGTTGACGAAGGATGGTGATTGTTGCGGGGAGGTAGAGCGAGGAGAATATGACATAGTAGGGGATTGTTGTTGTTGTTGTTGAGTGGTGATGTTTGTACTGGCGAGAGGGGAAGGTCGGAATGGCGAGCGGAGTGGGACTGGAATGGCATTTCTAGTGAGGTTTGTTGTTTGTAGTGGAGGGAGATGAGCTCTAGATGGAGCAGTCATTGTCTTTGGGGCGGGGTTCAGTTTTGATGTAGGAGAATAGGTCATTGAGGGGAGAGCTGGACCTTGAAACGTAGTCGCAGGAAGTGCAGTCAATTCGTAGGTTGTTGCTGGGAGAGCGAGAGGGAGAGTTTTGGGAACGGCTGGAGAAGGTGGTGCTTGCGAGAAACGAATACCAATTTGAACTGTTGCTGATGAAGATACAGAAGAGCCTCTTCTATGTCCAATCTTGCCGTGAAGTGGGGGAGGTGGTACCAGATCCGAAAGGTCGCTAATATCGTAAACTGATTCTAAGGCAGATCTGTTCATGTGGGGGGTTGCTAATGCGTCAGGGCTATCGGGAGCTGGTGTTGGGAAAAGGGAGTATGATTGTTTTCTCGTGTATTCCGAAGGGAAATGCTCGGTAGGAGTAGGAGGAATTGGTACCGATGACATTTGGGTAACGAAATTTGAGCGCAGAGGATTTGGCTTCGTCGGTGAATGCGTGGGTGGTTGTGAAACAGATAAATCGGCCATGCTAATGAAGTTTCTTTTGTCCGAGGAAGTGATCAAACTTTTCTGGCTTTCTGCTCGACTTACCAATCCTGATCTTGGAGATACTGGCGCTGGAACAGGATCCATTATTTGATCGCTGAATGCCAACTCATTTGGCCCCCACATTCTAATCTCATGCTTATTACTAGGCCAGGACCTGCCTCTTGGCCCAAATGATGTTGTTGCAGTGTTCGATCGTAAGAATAAGTGGAGTAAACCGTTCATCAGACCGGACAAATTGAGGACCACAGTTGCCATCATGGCTAGCTTAAAGTTACCGTGTCCGATTGCTTGGGAAACGAAGTATGGGATGACGAAACCCTTTTAATCGTTAGCAATGTTTGAACGCCAACTCATCAGATAGACTCACCAATGATACGACACCTACAACGAGGTAATACACCATACGAGATGCTGCAATTCTTTGATTTCGCTCCACCAAGGTCGTCTTGGATAGCCTGACAAATATAGTGAGGGCACTGATAATTAGGAGACCAGCGACAGCGGAATATACGCAGAGTCCAAAAGTTCCATATCTTGATACGAACCATACCAATGAAGCAAAGCATCTATTCTTTTGTGGAAAGAGATTTGTTGGAATCCAAGTAGCAACCAACATCAACACAATTGTTCCTAAGCATATCGATACATCATATTTTCCTCTTGGTTGGAAAGGCGTTTTCTTCAAAGATCTTATAGCACATTCGAGTCCAAAAACAAGTTGAATATATGGAACAATGAAAAGAGCTGAACATCATTAGTATCAAAAAGATTTCTAGTCCTAGATAAAACATACCAATCCACATAAATTGAGCGATTGTACCGCATCCAAATGTAAATAATGAATGAAGTCCTTCTCCTTGAACTGCAGCAAAGACAAGTCCTTGAATTATAATACCAATAGATAGTACCAAAGGGAAAGTTTCCGCTGGGTGAATCATGGAAACGCAGAATTTTCTAGCACGCGTTAGTTACCCTTCCACGAGAATGCGATTTATCCATAACATACGAAGCTTTGAACTTCGGGTTGCATCGTTTAGATGCCCAGTAACAATCGTAAAGAATACTGGCTGCCGTGGCAAAAGAAGCTAGTACATTAAAGGCTGCTAGAATGATAGTCGATGTCCGGACCGATTTGCTTTCTGCAAAAACCAGGTTTTCTATAATTCCCTCTGCGACTGTGTTGTTCCCAGAGCTCTGTACATCTTTCAGGAAGGTCGACGCAGGTTCCGAGCCATCGTAAAGTTCCGCCCGGGCCATCAAATACAAAGCTGAACTTGCACCCATTTTGTTTCTTATTATGATCGAAGCTATCGATTTATATAGGCAGCGAGCCGTGGCGTTGCCTTATGTCGTCGTTAAGTCATGAGATTCGAATGATGATAGTGCTGTAACGATAGTTTTCTTTGAGGGGGGGGGGGGGGGAGGATTCAAGAGTTCTTTGGCGTGGGTGATGGAGAAGACAGGGAAAAGTAATTAATGAGGTATAAAAAGAGCGGATTGTACCAATAATCCAGTTGGCACAGAATAAGAAAATAAAATATAAGAAATTATCTGAACCAGCAGTGATAGATAGTGCACTGCACGTATCGTAGAGAATAATGACAGACTCGAAGGTAGGAAAAAGAACCCCAAGAGAATGTCACAAAGTCTCAAAAGACGGTTTACAAATATTATCGGATTGCATGATGTATAAGAAAGCACATATGGCAAGGCGAATGTCTGGCCCACGCGCGGATTGACCAAGTCCGTCCTGGCAGGGTAACCTTGTGCGTGGAGGAAGTGGTGGGGGAGTAGTGCTAAACTAATATGGGCCACGCCGCCGCCACTCGAAGTGGGTTTCAACTCATTTACTATGGAGAGTATGAAAAGGTGGTGGTGCCCAAGGAAAGACTTCTATCAAAAAGTGTTTGAACTTCTTGATGAAGTGGAGGATGCAATTAATTGCTTACAACGTGAGCGTTATTCAAGGAAGATTCTGATTGAAGATGCTTATCACGATATTTTTCATTAGCAAAGCCAGTTCAATCGGCCAGACTGAATAGAGGAAGCAGTCTTTGACAACTGAAGTATGAGAAGCTTGACTAGGTACCACTGAGGTTTCGACAGTGTCGCAAATGTTCGCTTAGGACCCTGACTACAAGGTCAAAGCCGTGTGGGTCAAGCAGTTCATGCAACAGGATAAATTGACCAATCAAGAAAAGTAACATAAGCCAAGGGACCAAAGGATGAGAAAGATACTGGGAAATATCCATGATCCTCAACGTAGATGGTTCTGTAGAATATTCCATCGTATCTAGGTTATGAGATTTTTGGTTCATGGGCTTCAATTGGCTATTGATTGCCGATGGCATTGATTGAGTGGACCTCGAATCAGGACACTGGCCGTTATGCGCTCTTAAAAAAAAAGAATGAACATTTTAGATTTAAGCATCAATCACCCCGAACAGTAAGACTAATTGACGGGTACTTTTTTTCGACGACACTGTGTCAGCAGTAATCAAAGTCGATAACAAGCAAGATCGAACACCGCTCAACCCATAAAGGTTGCCCATATGCAACTCAAGTTTTGCCATGAATTCACCAGAGGGGCTTTGTGCAACATCACAACCAATTTGACATCATCATACACATTTATTTCAGATGTAGCATGGGTACGACGGACCCTTGTCTTGGAAACAAACAAGACGATACTGATCGAGAATCAATTTTTGGTCCTGGGAAGAAAACGAAAGGTTCGTCCAGTAATCCCTAGAATGAGACCTGACCTTGGAAGTTGGAAGCAAAGATCAGGGGGTGGAATATTCATGTGGCGTCCCCATGAAGCTCAAGAAGTATCAAGATGGCTAGGACGAAACCATTCACTATTAATAATTAACGTGCTCTGAAGAATTTCCTAAAGACACGACGAACTGTGAGAATAAAGAATAAATGATACGACTAAGAGAACAATTTTGGACATGTGTTGCGTGCGTGCCTGTGGATATTTGAAGAGTTTGAAGTCGTGAAAATCGAATGATTGATTGTTTGTTTGTTGTTGAGTGATAATTGAAGATATCGAATTGCAATTGTCCCGACGAAAAGAAGCAGCAGACTAGTCTCAATCCAGCCTAGATCTCTTGCTCTCATTTTACACGTGACTTTAACTCCTCCATCCAATGTCCTCGCATCTGATTGAGAGAACAATTCAAGGGTGAAAATGATTATTTTGAGCTCGCAAACCGTTTCCAACTGTTTGTGAATTTCTCATGTCGTTACAAATCTCGTTCCCTTCATCTCCACAAATCATGAAGATAGGAAATGGGCCCCAGTTTATTCAAGCTCACTGCAACCTGACGAACCCAGCCCTTCATGGATACAGAAAGTGCCATTGCCTTGGAACTTTACCGTCGGCTATCCACCTTCAATGATGTTACACTCTAAGATGATATCTAAAAAATCTATTATAGGAGTTCAATGTCATGAATCTTTCATATCTCCAGGGCTGACTTCCTTCTACTGCGCCACCATCAGAACCATGTTCCCCACGAGATGGACCCCTAATACATCCTTCACTTGGGGTATATCTGTTCTTGTTGCAGACAACGATTGTATCCCACAATCAAAGAACCTCGAATAAGGAAAACTACCTTCCGAATCTACTTCTCTTGGGGACTTGGTTGGACAGACTAGACACCGCCGATTTCCTATTTCAAGCGACATATTTGTTTTCGATCTTTCCCACTTTTCCAGAATCGTGACTTTCGAGTACAATTTATAAAATCATCTTTCTAGTATTGTGTATCATATGAAACTATGAAAGGTTGCTACTGCATAGACTCAAGGTTGAGTACGAGAGTACTTATGTACTGTATCCCAAGCTCGTGCATAAGGTTCATGCTACCCCGTTATTTTAATTTATTCACTTCGCTAGCGAATCTCCTCGAACGTTTGATCGACTTTCCAGTGAAAATGCAATGTAGTCTTTCTTCCCATGATTACATGCATGGCCCATCAAGTAGTAGACTAGGATTTATTTCTCCGATATGCAATCTAGAAGCCTGCTAGAGGCCCGCTCTTGCAGACCCTTAAACTGGTTTCCGAAGTCGGATGAGAATCGGAATTGATCTTGAGTTGGTCGATTCTCGCCTATTCTTAGCTATCTGGGTACTCGTCACCACGCAATCACTCACACTGTTCGTACATATTGTGGTCTCGGAGTCTCGTAGCGCTTTTGCGCATAACAAAAGAGACTCTATTGCTTTTAGATTTTACATCTCCTGACCATGTATGCATACGTCAAACCAGTTCTTTGGGCCCGCACATATTGGGTTCCCTGTATTTTCATATGAAATTGGTCTTGGATGTATTGCTTGCTTTTTTGAGTACCGAAATTCTGCGTAACATGGTGTTCAAGTGCCATATGACCTGTCATAACTAATTTCCAGAGTAACCGGAATTTTAGCTTCCGTGCTTGGAGTGTTCAGATGCGTTCCTAGTTCGACCTTCAATTTCAAATTCTTCTCTTAGGATTGCTAAAGATATATCCCATGTACTGAGAAATTGGACGAGTGGAATCAGTATCTACCAACCAACATCAAGGTTTCCAACAATCTGAAAGAAGAAGAAAGAAATGTCTTGAAATATCAATTTTATACAATTTGGAAGTATCACAAAATGAAAAAAGTTTTGTTGGCTAACAGTTTGAATATTCCAATTAATTTTGACCTTTCCTCAAGTGTAGAGCCCCTGATTTTCTGACTACTCTTCAAGCCCTTCACTGGCCTTCGTTCGCGCCCTTACACAAGCCCTTTCCTCCTCAAAGATTCCACCTCCCACCTGATTTTCCTCACCACCCTATTCTCTCCAAAATCGAACTCATACAAACTCACATCCTCGCACATCCCCTCTTTCTTCTCCATCGCCAACCCCACCTTCAAAACCTCCAGAAAGCTGGGCAACACTGCCCTAATATCCCTCTCCAGTGTCGCCGAATAAACATTGCCCCTCCCAACCCCACATATGCATTTCCTCGCTTTGATTACGAACTCTTCAATCACTTTCTCATCCTCTTCATCACAATTACCCATCCACGAAGATTGAATGGCACCTGTCAAATTCCTCTTCTCCTTGCGCGTCAGTGTAGCCCACGTTTTGACAGTTCCTATATGCATACAATTGTGGACTTCACGTGGTCTTGATGGGACTTTTGTTACACCTGGTAATCCCGTTTCACTTGATTCTTTTTCGATCTCAGATTTTCCGAGGATGCCAAAAATGTCGATAAGATGATCTCGTCTCTTCTTTCTCACTTGATCCAATAGCCGAGGTGTCCATTCCATTTCCCCGTCTGCAATTTGCTTCAACGAGACTTCCTCTGGGAGGAACGAAATACCGCAATCTGGAGCTCCGCAGTGGAGTACAGATGCACCAAAAGGGTTTTCGAAAGGAACCACAACATTGTTGTGGCTAGTATACGCATCTTCATTCTTAAACTCTGGCTTAGATTCAATGAATATACTCAGCAGTATCTCAATAACAGCATTTTCAGGAACCTCGGCTTTTGTATCCAGCAAAACAACAGCTAACGGTTCCTTGGAGCGCAATTGTGCAAAATAGGTCTTGGCGGATGCATGCGCGAATTGGTAAAACACTAGCCAGAAAGCGAGGATTTGAATTCGAGACATCATCTTTTTTGATTCTTCCTCTGTCCAACCTTTAATAAAATCTTCTGCAGGCATGAATTTCATCAGTGTATTCCAGAATACCGGTACTGATCTTAGGATCGATGCATCGCCTCCCATATCTTTTGGAATTAGATCGTCATTAAACTCCACGTAAAGAATTTCCAACAGAGGTTTTGTCCAGTCGCGGGGTTTACCCATGTTTTTATAGAGCCGTGCAAGGAAGGTTGAGACGAATGAATGCAGGAATTTGGTATTCTTCATATTCGTGATGGTCTCGTCGGAGAATACATTCAGTGTTTTTCCGAAACGTAGGAGTTGCATAAAGCCCGCTACAGGATAATTGATACACCAAGATGTTAAGCCTTCCTTTTGAAAATCTTGTGCTGCCCAAGCAAGAGCGAGTGGGTAGGTGGTCCATTGACCCAGTTCATTGAATGTTTCCCTCACTCTGAGATGTGAGATTATATTGTTCAGAAGCCAAGTTAGTGCATTTCTCCTCTGCAGAATTTCTGCATCTATACTTCCTTTATCGTCTTCAAAGCCGGCGCCAGCCCACTTCTTGACCCTCAACGTACGATCCAAAATTGTCGCAAACAATTGTCCCATAGCTGGAACCCCAGTTTTTAGCCCCGCATTGAGTGCTTTGTAAAGCTGCTGGTGAATGTACAATTTATTACTCCCAGTGTACCCTAGAGTGGGAATAACAGTCGAAATTTCTTCTCCGTAGATAGAATGACCAGGTCTTCCAAATAAAGCACATTGAAAACAAATACACTGACTAGACAGTATATTCATGTTTGCCTCGAATCTCCCAGCTGCCAAGGGGAAGTCAAGAGCAAAGTTATCGGTATTGGCTGCCATGGCATCTGCGCTCAGTACTTTCAGAGCAATAGACAGGACTTCGTTATCCCCGCAGCAAACCTGGCATTCACCTCTAAAGCCTGGGGCTTCAAGATCTAGCACCGAAACATCCACTGCAGAGTCTGCCGAAATGTTTTCAGCACGTCGTGCTCGGTTTGATCTTCTCGAGAGAATTTCTGCCGTAAACCCAGACTTTTCCGAATCAGCTAGAGCACGTAGCGATGCATCTGCTTTCCGATTACGATCCCGAATAGCCTGTAATTGTGCATCATTTTGAGCTGCGGTATAAGCTTTACGGTTTGCCTCATGGGCATTTCTTAGTTTGGATTGTAGGAGGGCTCTAGTCTCGCTAGATATCTCTGTATCAGCGAGAAGATGAATGAGCCCCGCAGCGCCGGATACGTCTTCGAGTTTAATCGTCAATTGTTCGACCTTTTGGGCGAGAAGGAATGATCGGAGTTCATTCAGCTTTCCGCGAGACTTACAGGCTAGAAGCAGAGCATCGAGTGCTTCATCTGCAAAGAGTAGATCACGATCTTCATCCGAGATAACTCCTGCTCGAAGAAGCATGTCAATGTCTACCAAGGTAGGTTGGGAATTGTTGTGAGCCGTGTTCCATTCTTCGCCCAAATTGAGCTGAGTTGGTGTTGCAATTCTTGTTTCCGCCGTTGGGACATGAATTTCTAGCTCGGTAATTCTTTCGATCAACTCTGCTTCGCTGGGAAAACTGGTTAATTTCTCCCACGCATCGTGGTCTTCTGCTTGATCTAATGCTGCAAAAGCGCCTTTGCTGGCTATTACATAGATTTGATTGCTTTCTTGATCTTTGAATAGGCATAGTGCATTCGCACAATTGGCATAGGATGTGATACCCACGGACACATTGGCATGACTTGGTGCATTCCTTGTATGTGAGGTAATCAAAAACACCGTCGCGCAATCAAACACTCCCAGCTCTTGTCCCAACCCCGCCAGCGTGTGTACCTCAGAATTTGGGACCTCTCCATCTGTAAGTAAGAACCAAATATCAGAATCCCGAATCGCTTGCATCGACTATTGGTTCCTCAATATATGTTGTGGCTGGGTTCCGCCCTGGTCAGGAGCCCAGAAACATTGCTCCCAGTTCGTTGGGTCTTTACAGTTGGAACCCCATCTCGTGACTCTATCTTCATCTTTTCGTATAGAGACTTCGTGAAATGCATCTGCAAAATTGTGTTCCGAAATAAATCGAATGCCAACTGTAGATCCAGAAGCATCAAGGGCGAAATACTTTCTGGAATTGGCGAATGAAGTGTACACGATTTTCTCCTCGTCGCCAGGCTCCAGAACTATTTTCCATGAAGCCATATTTGATATATAGCTTTCTTTGCGAGAAAAAAACTGGTTGTGAAATATTCAGATCATAGAAGATGGTCATCAACTATATAAAAGTCAAATACAAATTGATTTGAGTCACAAAAAGAGAAGTTAGGAGTCACTACGGTGTGCCCAGGTGGTGACTCTTCCCCGGCATTGGGCATTGGCGGCCCCCAATTTACTGTGCCACCCCCACCAATTGATTCACCCAATATCAATGAGCAGCGTACACCCGATTTCATAACGTGTGTCCAAAAAAAAAGCACTTTTTCGAATATTACCTAATCGAATTTTTGGAATGGGAAAATCCAATTCAATCAATATAACTCCAAATTGAAAAAACTCTGTATTATAATATAGATATCAATTGAAAAAATCGATAAATAAAATCTGAATAGAATTGATCAAAAATTGATTGAATTAGAAGTGATTGAATGAAATTATGATTTTTGAAGTAGTTTTCAGGTTTTTGAATTTTCGAAAATTGAATTTTCATTTAACTATTTCTAATTCAATCAATTTTTGATTAATTTTATTTAGATTTTATTTATCGATTTTATCAATTGAGATCTATATTTTTATATAGAGATTTTCTAATTTGGAGTTATATTAATTGAATTGAAAGTAATTGAATTATTTTTATATTAGATTTAGCAAAAAGTTGATTAGATCAAAAAAAGTCACGTTTTGGACACACGTTATGAAATCGGGTATAACTGCTCCCGATTATGTTTTCTGCAAGAGCTGATCAAAGATCAACGATTGTTGTACATCAATTTCAGCCGACTATAAAAAAGGGTGACAAGTGCAATTGTGGGCATTTTGGTACCTTGATCTTTGCGATCAGGAGCATTGAGCTTAACTTAAGGGCTTCAAATGCCAGCCACAACCTTGAAACCATTTTATGTTCACATTTATTATGAAATAATTCCTGGGATAGTTCATTGCCATGGTCAAATCTTCCCATGTGTAAGTGTATCTCGAGTACAAAGCTACGTACAGACGTAAAGGTACTATTTACTTGCAGAGAGCACTTCCGACCTTCATCACGATACATCTTTACTTTGATAGACACGTTTCCAGACCCTACACAAAAAGTGAATCTGCTGACTGCAGACCACAATCAAGACTCATTATCTGGGGTATAGCTAAGTCTGACACTTAGCATGTAGGTTTAGTGAGGCAAAGGCGATTCAAATCTCAGCATAGGAATCGACTGCTTTCCCTTTTCCCTCTCCCTTCATGTCGCCTACCTCAAATCATACTCAGGATATTGTCCGACTTCTTCCACTATCGACGCATGCTTTCAGCATTTCCATTGCAACTTCTCGGGTGTCATTGAAGATCACACGGTCTGTGACTTTCACAATTGGTACTGGGACTTGCAGGTGTATGGAACGCCGATACTTTCCTTGTGGAATATCAATCCATCCATCGATGAAGTCTTTGGATCAACAACCGATATTTCGCGAAGAACGAGATAGAGAAGCGCTTTTTTTTGCTGGGGTAAACATCAATAATCTGCAGCAGCTATGCACAGTAACTATTCTCTTCACGTGGTGCCATTGTTATAAAATACTGGGACATCAAAATGAAAGTTCGTAAAGCGCATCTCAACTTTCCAAGGAAAGCAATTTCATATGAATCAGTGTCTGTTCCATTAGATATTGATTTTAGTTCAGCCACAAGCCCTGTATTTTTACCTACTTTCTGATAGTATCTCATAGCGACCATTTCTGAAAATGAACCAGTAACCTTCACTACCATTCGCTCAACCTTACTTAGCTCATAGTCAAATTTGAGATAATTTGCGATGGGAATACAGTCTTTCTCATCACTGTGGCCCTAGCATTTTCTTTTCCTATCGTCTTGGAACTCATAAACTCGGATGATTCAACTTTAATGTCAGGTAATCTTCAAGACCTGCAGAAGAATTGACGGGCAAACCACTAGCACTATAATCAATCCCATGGTATAGGCTAGAGGCAAGGTGGTGAATCGGCACTAAGATCTTTACTCTTGTGCTTTGGAAAGGACGACCCAGGCAACTCCAAAAACCCCATTACCCGCGACAACTTATTATTCTTCACAACCTATACTTGCATAGTATTCAAAGACTCTTCAATGACACTTTTTATCAGTTATTATTCAATGTCAGCCTACGATAAAAAGGTTGGTGGAGGATCTTCAAAAGATATTCGGACCTCAACTCGAGCTTGAGGACTTTGGCCAAGTGACGGTTATAGCAGAAGAAGAATCCATGGCAGCACATATATCTAATAGATAACGTGTATGTATCATGGAAAGCTTCGCATTCTTCTATACACACTCATATCCCAAGATGAACATCACAGTCACAAGGACCATTATTTCCTACCAAAATGAGTGTTTTCAACAAACAAATGCATTGCCAGTCAAAAAGAGACTTTCGAGTCAATTTGATGACTTTTCCCAGTCATTGTCGACTTTTTTGAGTCAAAATATCGCTGTCTGAGTGCCTTTAGGAGTCACTTTCGAGGACAAAAGAAGGAAACTTGTAGGGGTAATATGTGTATGAGTACGATCGATAATCCCCTTTGGACATACTTTGCTACCATCAAATACAATTAAGCACTCCAGAATATCACAGAAGACGACGAAATTATCTAGAACTCTTCAACGACTTGCCTTTACGACTCCACACGCCTCGCATAACGTCTCCGTCAAAACAAATTTCCACCATCAAAGAGTGCTCTTCCTGGACTCATTTCAAGAGTGCCTCATTGCCACGGCTCGATCGTTGTTCATAAATTTCCCGTTTGGGTATTCAAGGTAACTCCCCCAGCTCCTTCCTACTCGTCCTTGCAATCTGTTGTATAATAGAACTAAGCATTCCATAATGATAGTTTGTTGCACCTTCATTACCTTTTACAGATTCTCACAACAACGGTATTAACTTCAAGTGTATACAGAACAATAATAAATAGCAATGCCACCAGAAACACGCGACGGTAGCAGTAGATAATCAAACATGCCACCACCACCTTTTAGTTGCCGTAGTTGCATACGACAGGAATCCAAATGCTGTGCATGTGGTCTCATATGGGAAAGACAGATTCCTGATTGCGACAACTGTCGTGCAGGTATCAGCATACCTTGGGGTTGTGCAAGCCGGGTAGTTGTGTGGGAAGTCCCTGAAAATGGACCATGCTGTTCAGATAATTGTCAGGGTCCTAATCTTATGAGATAGGACCAGTAGCAAAAATAAGATGGTTGTCGAGACTCTTCGTGTACTTCAAGAAACACTCGTTCCTATTTACATGTTTTGATGGAGCACACTTTTCATATTTCATTTGGTACTGCATTAGAAATGCACCTCTTATCGTTGAAGTTTTCGAAAATCATAAAAACAGCAAAAAGATACAGATATTGGATATGGTTGCGTGAGTCGCTATGGTAGGAATTAATTGGGTGACAAGAGTGGAAAGGAGATATGGCTGTGGATACAGATAGATAATATACACGTTGCTTTTACCAAGTCTTTTTCCTAAATACTTATTACTCAACAAGATTTACTCCACTTAACCTCAGAGATCAGCAAGTCAGCACTCTAATCGATTGTGAGTTGGTACGAATTTGAAAAATTGACTACTGCAAGTCACGAATAACATTTTCCTTGGCATTCTAGACCGATTCGAGCTTAGACCGGACATCAGAAGTTACTAGTATCAAACTTAAAATCAACTACTCTTTACTAAATTAGATAGTAGAACACTTGATAAGTATTCACGTCATTTGTAAATGCTTCTTGATTTTCTCGCAACTGCCAGATATCACATACACGTTACATATCTGAAAGTTCCAACATCTCAAGATTGAGAAATATTGGGTACCCCTTCCGTGTATCTTTTGAAACCTAAAACCAAAGCCAACTTCACGTTCCTGGTACCTGATGACAATCTTGCAAAACGATGTAGGTATCGAGCTTGATGTTGCGTGGTGTATATCATGTATGACTATCTAAGGCAATGAGAAAAGTTTGCGTTGAAAGTTTCCCATAGTTAACTTTAATCCTGGAAAATTGTCAACGTTAGTATTTTTAGGACTACCAATGAATTTCTTGGCACTCAAAATCATGTGTTTTTGCTCTGGTGTCATTTTCATTATCTTACACTATTTTCTACTTCTAGAATATCTGACGTCAAGATCCAGTGTCGTCAGCCCATGCTATACTGGATACTTCTAGTCTGCCCATCTTAAATATTATAATGAAAAGTTGCGGAGATGCAACGGTCCAATAAATCAGGATACAGTTTAAGTAGCTCCAACACTAGGGAGGCAGTTTTGGCTAGTTCTAGGAGATATGGATAGTTTCTTTTAGTATATACATGAATATCTCCCCTTCCCTTCACGGTTCTTTTTTCCATTTTACTTATTACTTTTCCTTTCATCTCAACATTGACTCAACATGACTTCAAATTCAACCTCTTGGATGAACGGCTCGTCGTGGTCGCCTAGTCGCACAAGCACTAAAAATCCCTTTGATGATAGTAATGGAGATCCATTCGATGATAGATACGCAACGCCTTTACAAGACATTGAAACTGGTACTACTGCACGCCTATCCAGCGAAACGCAACAACAAGATGCAGTTGATCAATCTGGTGTTCCCTCAGAAGAGAAACGTATAATCGAGGACATTCAAAATGAGCGGTCAGTATTCTGTCATCTCCTTGGACATGAATAACCCTTACATACTCATGCTAACATTCATCCTAGTATGTCGTGTGAAATTTGTTTAGAACCTGTGCGCTTTGCGAAGGATCGTTACTTGTGGAATTGCAAGTCTTGCCATGCTGTTACTCACCATCGATGTACGAAATTGTGGGCCAAGGCAGAACCAATTGGAAGGACCCTTGCTTGGAAATGTCCCAAATGTGAAAATATTGAACACTCGACCCCCAAGGGAAAATGCTGGTGTGGAAAGGGTAACCCATTACATGACCACCCTACCATCCCGAACGCGTGCTTAAAGGGTGTTTGCGGTAGTAAGTCCAAATGTGCTCACGGAAACAAGTCATCTTGCCGCAAGCCATGCCATCCAGGGCCATGCAAGTATGAATGTGGAAGGTGCGCCAATGATCGTTTACCCAGCCCGCCAAATATGAATACTATTTGGGGTAGATTCAAAAGCAAGAGGCTAAACTTTTGCATTATCTTCGGCAAGTTCATGCTTATTTTAGCTCTACTTGGGGGTGTATGTACCTATATTGCCTTTCACATCAAGTGGCATACACAACCATACTTATATCCTCATTTCAAAGGCAATCTCTCTATCGTAGAAGGACTTTGCTTGCTTGTGGTTGGGATAGGCTACTTCCTTTTCGGGGGATTATACTGCACTAACTGCGTAATTGGGGGGACGAAGTTCTTCCTGGAGATACTCAACGGCAATCAGGGACAGACCGGATACAAATTTAGATTTTTTCGATCAGTTATAGGAGGGGTCCTACTAACGTGCTGTATTGTGGGACTGTATTTTATGCCAGTCATCGGGTACGTAAACTAACCTTTTTCATATTAATTACTATTGGAATTCGGCTGATATTTGCTGCATTTAGAATCATCGGTGGTCCAGACATACAATGGTATAATCAGATGAAGGACTCTTGCCGTGGGTTCGACACCCGAGTCAAGATAGGTACTCGTTTCTCGGCGTCAACATACACTCTCCACAGTCTCAATGCCTCTATCGATAATCAAACCTTCTACCTCGCTCCCGTACTTGCACCAAAATTTGGCAGCAAAGAGCCTTATCAATACTTTCATCGTTTCTCTGGTAGCACAGCCAACACTGCAAATTACGCTATCGATGTCGATATAGATAATGGTGTCTGGCGCGAATTGCATTTCAATGGAACCGATGAGCTCACGAAATGGTGGGCTAGCGGCCGAAAACAATACCCTTCGGTTCACCCTATCTTTGATAATATCACTATAACCGAAGATGCAATCAAGCGGAATGGTACTTTCGTAACACGCGACGGTCACCTTTGGATGCCCAAATTCGATTTGATATTTCAAGGATTAGAAGACTCACGCAAGCATGCCGAAATAGAACCTTTCATTCGTGTGTTCGACACACAGGGTCTCCCTCACTCACGGACTGAGAAGTTGTTGAGCGCCAAGTGGAACTGGAACAATAGACACGACCCGAGTATTGTAATGCGTACGGCCAGTTTTGGACATGGCAGGCAGAGATTGGATATGTGTATAAAGGAAGATTTCTATTACAGCTCCAGCGGGGCACAGCAGAAGCGTGACGGCGTTAGTGATGGATCTATTATGCCGTTGGCTGTTGTTGCCGCATTCAGAATGAGGATGAACGAGATGTACGCATTGAATTCTGGAAGACCTTTCAACGTCAAAAAGTATTCAGAATATGATGATGTTAAGGCTATAGCATAGGTAGCATAGGCTATCAATTCCACTCATATCACTAATATAATTATTACTTAACAAGAATATCAATTCTACTACCTCCCATGATTGAGCTGCTTCTCCGCTGAGGAAAATTTCTACCTATTACTTCTTTGACTTGAGAAATCGAGTATACTGGTGGGCCCATCTCCACAAAGTTTCGTGCCTTGACTCATCAGTCACCTAAAATCGTCTCTAGTCACTTCCTAGACTTCAATACGTATTCATGAAAAGATCTTCCTTTTTTGAGTATCATTCGATGCTTTGATTATATTAGAAAGATTCAAAGGGGATTATCAAAGAGCAAGAACTTACAATTGCGTCGCATTTTTCGCTGAAAGGGGCCCTGTTTCATGAAGTTCAAGTACCTCATTTAATTATATTGAAACTGTAACGTTCAGGATCTTACAACAGTCTACTGAGAAGCTAGATATATTCCAACCCACTACTTAACTTGAGCAAGTAAGAATTAAAAATACGATATCGTATTGAAGTGTATGTATAAATTGATCGAATTGCTATCAAAAAATAATATCTCAAACTAGGTATCCTATGCTTTCAAAGGTCTTGATTTAATCTTGTAATATAGCCTCGAGTTATTAGTAATGAAGCAAGAAAGCGCACTAGAAAATTATATTTCAATGTACATGCTATACTACTTTATAAGATGAAAGATTATATCTCAATCAATACTTCCTCATGACTTGCTTCTTCAAAAATTCGGGTAAAATAACCTGATGAGTCGCAGAAAATGAAATTATCATCTCGGTAGATTGTTCCCTTGCAAGGTTCGGCAAACTCCTTCGGCAAAGCTTCGTCAGTGGAACCAAGTTTGTGAGTACCGTTTTCTTTTCCTAATTCTGCTAATAAGCGTCTAAAATCATGTGGCAGCTCGCGGTATGCATGTTCTTGCTCCTCTAAGTATGAATTTGTCGATGACGTGTCCCCATGTAGGCGCTCGTTCAATGCGGCTTGGATACCTCGTTGACACCATCTTGTTAACGGGTCAATTCTCCGAGAACTGAAATCTAATTCCTGAGTCTTCTCGTCGAACTCTTTTAGCTCATTACTGAGATTTTCCATAGCAGTTTTATCGCTCACACATAGGTATTTCGTCAGACAAGTTTGTAAGTAACCAATTTTGTCTCCATGCAAGTCTTCTTGTATGTGCGACAATTCGTTTAGTACCTCTGAAGGTGACTCAGATGTATAGAATATCTCTTGCAGATATTGTACTATTAGAGAATAATCGCCATTTCTGCGACATGTTTCTAGCCCTAGCTTGAGCAAGTTTTCCGGTGTGCCTCGCGACTGTCTTCTCCAGTGCACGGGGTCTAAATCATGATGGTCCAATGGAACGTAGATCGGCAGATTGGAAGTCCAGACAATAACCCCTTGAGATTGCTTCATGTATTTATAGTCTGGAATTTGACGTGGATTGGACGGCAGTTCTCTCGCTAATCTTTGGTTGGCCAAAGCCCATTTTAAATAGGGGCTCGTTTGAACATTCTCCGGATTGCTGAGACTAAGCGAAATTGCAAACTGGTTGGCATGAGCCATGGCCTGATTGATGATCCTCGTGATCGACGGATCGTTTTGACTGCTGTGCGATAATAATTGCAGCGAGATAGTTACCAACAAATCAAGGAGGGCTAAGTCGGTAGACTCGTCACCATGGGAGCGATGTGTCCAGTCAAACACAAAATGAAACCCCTCATTGAATCCCAATTCATCTGATTTCGAAATTTTCTTGGAGGCTGTCCGTTTCCGATCTTTGAAAAATAATTTGATAGCATCTCCAACTCCATATCTAGAACAAAGAGCCTGAAAAAGGTCTCTCATATCCCATATTCTGTTAGTCGAGAGAAGATGCCTATACAAACTATGCCAATCTAACGATCTATTTATCATAATTTCAGGATGTTGAGAGACATTTTCTAGTAGCTTTGTATTTTTCACTTCATCGGAATGCAGCTGAATTATATTACAAAGCAATTGTACCTAGAAGTTTATCAGACAAAAACTCAATACATGGTACAGCAAACTGACCTGAATTGAATCAAGGCTCTCAAAACTCGCCAGTAACTCCAATTTGACTTCATCGGCCCCCACATCTCTCTCTTCACTATCGGGCAAGTAGCCCAAAGCACGCCGTCTTCCCAACTCAAACACGGAACGCAGATACTGACTAGGAATTTGTCCACATTCGCTCAACTGCTTTAGCGAAGTCAATTCTTTATCTATAGCAAAATCCACCAAAGTCTTGTAGGCACCCTGCTTCAGTAGAGTATCCACAAAGTCCAGAACAAATTCTGGATGATTTTTCACGTCCGATGGGCAAGATTCGAAAAGATCTTTGGCGGTATCAAATTTACCCTTTCTCGTGAGACGAGAAAAATCTTCCAGAAATGGCTCAAGATCGTATTCGCAGTCAAAAGTAATCTCCATACTTCCTGTGGAACCAGGAGTCTCGGCTAAATCTAAAATCTCCCCTGCTGTAATCAGTGCAGCCTGAGATATTTCGTCCCGGAACATAAACCCACTTTCGGTATCGTCCTCTTTGGTTGATGGGGAATATTGCTGAGAGTCTCCAGCCAATTCATTTTGGGGCTGAGAACTTTCACTCTCAGGTTTTCGTTGAGTATATTCATCATTGCCAATGTACAATATATCCGACATATTGAAATATTTTCATTCACACCTTAGATACAGTTTCAATCGTTGCATTCAAAAAATCGACGGGTTTTCGTGGGGCTTAGAAATAAATGATGTATATGACTAGTGCAATACAAAGAATTGAGGTTAACCGAGCGGGGTAAGACAAAAAAAAAAGAATAGAAAACATTTACTTTTCTAAACACTTTCTTTGTTTTTGAAAGAGCTCTACTTATAAATATCCAATAGGAAGTTTCCAAGTATATACATATAACAAGAGCCATCATTTTGTTCGTGATGTTCAAAGTTCTCTCCTTCTCCCCCCTCTTCTTAAGCCCTGGAATATACTTTTTACTATCGACTTACTATTAATTATCTCATCGGGCAATTTCTTAAAGAATATCATGAAAAATTATTAGACACTTTGTGAATAAATAAACTTAGATCCACAGTGTCATATGAAGTTTGGATCTTCCTTTCTCTCGCTCTTTTTTTTTTATCAAGGGACACCACACTAAATAGTATTCAATCTTATCATCAGTGGTCACAAACAGAAGAACTATTATGCTCACTAGTCAGATATTCAGTGTAAAAGCAACGTTCATTGTCTATCTATGTTCTCAGTCGTGCGGCAGGAATATTGGACCTCTTGTATCCTATCCATTGCTATCACGGTGGCCAGAACGCCTGGCATCTGCTGTATCGTGCGACCCTCAGAACAAAACTTTCATTGTCTATTTTTTCTTCGTCAAAGTGATCAGTACACCCAAGTTCCAATGTCTCTATCTTCCTACCTTCGAGAGCCCAGGGTGTATCTCGTTACGCTAGCGATGGCTGCGCTTCTTTCCTCTTCTCGAGGGACGGCTATTAGAAGCAGTACTATAATGAGGAGCGGGTGTTCTCTCTTGATTCCGTGGTTAAACAGTAATTATGTAGGACTCGCTTGTGTAAACATAACCGTAGGGTCCATCGGCCCTCTCGTTTCAGAGGTCATATTTATGACCACCAGCTGCATAGGCAGGATATCCGCTTCCATCGGATTGAGATGCATTTTTATAATGGCCGCTGTCTGAATGGCCTGTATCATGAAAAGAGCATAGATTTTGTGCATGCGAATAATAAGTTCCACTTCCACTGGTTACTGCTATCTCCACGGCCATTTCTACGCGTAAAGAATCATTGAATACCTAGGTAGCTGAGTATGGTTATTCGTTCTGACTGGGAATTGATTTATTACCTCAACTCAGCATATTAATATTGTAATGGATTAGAAGTTGAGAAGTGGAATCGGATCGGATGATATGAGGGGAAATTCACAGGATGAACAAAATGATCGATTCGAAATTGAAATATAGGATGAGATGGAATGGAAAAATATATCAAACCCAGGAACTAAAAAACATACTTTTGAAAAAGATAATCTTGGTGAATAACGGTAATCTCTCATCCCAGGAGAGAGAATTGATTATCAGTGATCGATACATAGAGCATGATTGAAAATCGTACAGAATAAGATGGGAGAAAATGAGAAGATAACTTGATAACGCTAGGCGTTTTTAGCCTCGCCTTCAATCGATGCTTAAAAGCCATAGTAATTGATTGAAGCAAGTACAGACTAGGTAGCTATAGTACTAATCGATATCTCTCCTTCTTTTGGCTTGCCTGCTATTCCTGATGCCATACTTCTATCGTCAGTTATCAAGCGATTCTTGATCGCTGTAATATATAGAGGTTTCTGATTGATATGCATCTTTATCGTATCTATTTTGAGTGACCGTGTGATGTGGATCTTCTTCGCCATGAATGTCATCTTCATCGCTTGTGTTCCCATATAATGACCCTCGGGCCCCTGTCCGCCCTATCCCATCAATATGGACTCCATTAGCCTGCTGTCGTGCAAGGAAGTGTTTTCCTAAGGAACGTGCAGTTTTTTTCCCTTGCGCCATTCCATCTCTTTCACTTGAATATATTCTTCCCCCTGATTCATTCATATCACTCTCCGATTGCATCTCTTCTCCTGAAAGCTCGATATTGTCAGTATTTATGCTTTCAAACATTCTTCTTGGTCTGTTCTCCCAATATCTTTCGTCCTTAGCAACAGAGGATTTCTCATACCAAAGGTATGAAATATCATTATGATTCCGACCAATTCTCAAAGAAGAGTCGTTCTGTTCATTCACTGCCATTGCTCTCATATTGCTTTCAAAAAGTTCAGGGTGATTTTCTGAAACCTTCTTATGCAAAAATACTTCTTTCCGCGTATGAATATCCAGCTGTTCCTTGGTCCCCCTGAGAGAGATGCATAATGCTCTTTGGATCCTGTTCTGACACCACTTTAACATGATAGCATCACCACGGTCGGCAGGAAATCCGATTTCTTCATCATCAAAATTGCTTAAGTCATCGTACAATTCTCTTTGCACCGTTTCATTTGCTGCCACAAGATACCTTGTCAGACATGTTGCAAGATAGCCTTGCCGGTATCCTTGAACATCTTTCTGTAGACGCGCTCTCTCTCTCAGTAGTTCTAGCGGGGCCTGGGAACCAAGAATGATTTCTTCCAAGAATTTCCCTTCCAACGAAAAATTGCCCAATTCCCGTGCTGTATTCAGCCCGAGTTCCAGCAGATCGTCGGATCGTCTAAGTGGCTCATCTATGACCCAACCTGGGTTTTCATTCGAAAAAGGAACATAAATTGGAAGATCTCGTTGCCAAATGACAATACCAGGAAAACCTCTGAAATGGTTAATTAAGCGGGGTTCGCTCCTTTTTAGGATTCTCGACAATTTTTCCTCTGCCAAGATCCATGTCAAGTAGGACTCGGATTTAGTGTCTTCGGGACTGTTGCTACTGACAGAATTGGCGAATTGCCGAGCATATTCTATACATTGACTAGCGTGCCTCACATACTCTTTGCGAGGGTACACGTAATTCAAGAATATCTGTAAACACATTGAGGCCAAAACATCAAGAAGAGCAATGTCTGTAAATTCGTCGCGTGATTCAGTCCATCGTGCGACAAAGTCGCTGATGGAGTTCTCGGAAACCAGATCCATTTCAAACCAACCATGGATTGCGGACATGACATCGCTTTCTGACATTGTGTGGAACAGATCTCGCATATCTGAGACACGGTTTTGGGAAGCGAGATGATTGTAGAGGGTCTTCCATTCGGCTGTGGAAACTCTCTTTGCTATATTGGACGCTTCATCTAGCCGCAACCAATTGCACAGAAGTTTCACCTTGGACATGTCAGCAGAATGTAAAAATAAAGTGGTTGATTATTTTACCTGCATTGAATCGAGTCGAGGAAAATCTGGCTTCAGCTCCTTAGCCATTTCAAGCTCCAGGAGATTGCATGCGTCATAATCGAATTCAGAGCCCGAGGCCCGTACAAATTTCATTTTGAAGATTGCGCAATCTATGCATTGCTGGTATATTTTGGGGAAGGTCAATCCCAACCTTTCAAGCTTTTTATAGTCAAGATCGCCTTGCATTAACAAGATATCTGCGTAGTTGACAGCAAAGTCCATATTATTTCTGCACTCGTCTGGACACGACTCAATATATTGCAACGCAGCCTCGAAATCGCCTAGCCTTCTCAGTCTAGAAAGCTCTTCAACATGAGCTTCAATATTCTCATCACATTCGAAGTCCAAGTGTACCGTAATGTCTTGTGACGAATCCATATTCCATACTGCTTCTACTCCTTTCGTTGCGAGTACCCCATTTCGTGGAAAAGGCGCGAAACTTGCAGCACCCGATTGCTCAGGAACCAGTTCTTCTGTTCTCCGTATATCAATATCACTGATTAGGTTATTCCCCCTACGGTTCCAGTTTAGTTCGTTGTTCCTAGGGGGGTGAAGGAAATTCGGAAAACGGGGAGATCTATCCAATCCAGCATAAGAATGACGGTCAGAGTTTCGTCTTAAAGTTTGGTGACCACGGCGGCGGAGTGCATGGGGCGGGGTGGGAGACCGGTGGTTACTTTCAGGATCAGACATTTCCGCTGGTGGATCAACAGCACGTTGCTCCACGATGTTTTTCGGAGCTCGAAGGAGACTTTAAAATAACAAAGTTCTTATAAATGAATATTCTTTTTCTTGGATCATCAATAAGCACTCGAATATGCGGGCTATGCGTTGCCTGGCAAGTTTATGTATGCAAGAACAGGGATGGTAAGGCTATGCACGTGTTCGACTTTGTGTCAAGAGATATCGTGGCTCCCTAGGTAAAGTGCCGACTCAATATGGAAGCTAAACTTTGATGATTATTGGATAAGGTCGACTGGGAGGAAAATTGCAGCATGGCGCAAGTATGTGGTGTAATTTAAGAGTACAACACATCCAATTCATGTTGTATGCAAAGTAGCAACACGAGCTTCAACTCAAGTAAGAGCCGCAAGTGAAAGATAGCGTAATAAAAGCAAGTATCTACGACGTGTTTCATGAGAACAATCTGAATATTGGCTCTCCAAAAGTCGCAATTAATTACACATACAATGACTTCACGCGCTTCCCTCAACCCACCAACAGCTCCGCGATCTGGACGTGTGTTGGGACCAAATAATAATCCTCCGGATGATCTGTGTTTGCATAATCGGAAAATCGGAAAAGTCAGAGTCGACTGTAAATTTCAACTCTCAAGATCGAAATGGGGTGTCTTAGGTCATGCTGAGAACCCGGCTGGAATCATTTATATGAGCCTCGGTTTTCATCAACCCGGTGACTGCAGATTGTCTCAGGCAACTGTCTCTGTTACTTTCAAAGAATACAAGGGTGGAAACAGAAGCGACGAAACTCTTTCAAGTTCTTTGCACATCACCAATCGCTTTGGTCCGAGGCATCTAGTTGGCGAAGAGAGAAAAGTTTCCGTGAAAGAAAGCGTTCATTTCACACCCAACTTCACAGTTTTGGGTAACGGAGGCGGCGGAGTTGGTTTCGATAGAGTTAAAGATTATGTGTGCAGTAGTAGATGGAATTTCAAAGGCCAACTGATACCTGCAGACCACCCGAATCAGAGGGGCCACCAGACAGGCGTGCATAGAACATTGAAGTGGGAATTGACAGAGAGCGATCTTGAGACAGAAGCCACGCATAGTGACGTTATTTATACTGCATTTGCATTTAAGCACGCGGGTGATGCCTTCTACATGGAGGTCAAAATTGAAGGAAAGCTGAAAAGTCCTAAAGATAGGATCAGAAGATACTTGAAATTCTCCTCCAGGGCAAAAGAAAGCAAAGCAATAACTTTATTGGTTGATCCTCCTCGGAAGAACGGCTCCAGTCCCCAGCTTGATGCGCTGGCAGATGGTCTCCCCAGAGCAATGGAGATTGAAAATCTGCTAGCTGTACCGAAAGAAATGCCACATGCTGTGCCCACATTCGTTCACCCGGGTGGGATTGCGGCAAACACCTCAGGACCAAGCATAAATCGAGCAATTATTAACCCTGTTGAACAATCACGAGCTACCAATGGTTCCCCCACATTAATTCAAGGGGTTTCGAACCCTTCCCTGGGAGATCCAACATATCCTTCTGTCGAGAACCTTACAAAAGCACTCTCAGTATTTGTAGATAGAAGGCAGCAAAACGCTCAAAATTCTACAACGAAACCGGAAAAATCAACCTTGAAGCCAGTCGAAGAAGCAGTCGAACTGGAGAGTGAGTTGAAAACAGACATTGAATCTTCATACTCTTCTTCAGATACCAAACTGGTCAATGAGGAAGATCCAGAACTAAATCATGAAAACCTGGCGATTATCAAAAAGAAGCAGATTGATGAAGAGACGATGCTTCGTCTATTCGAGTCGCCATGTATCTTGTTTATCATACGGATGTTGCTCAGAGTAGCGGGGTTGTTCAGGGGGGTAACGAAACTACTGGAGAAGCCGCCATCTTTTGTTGTTGCAAAGCAAAATTTTAACGGCAAAGCAAAGTCATAATCTGCGCTGAGCTAGAACTCTCTTTTTTCTTTTTGATTTTTGCTGTCATTTCGTTGTAGAGCTTTGTTTAATGATATGAATTCATTTTAAAACCGTAAATTTTCGTCATAGGTCTCTGTGATGTGGCTAAAAAGCGTGGCTAAGCGCGTTATTCTGATCTTAAGCGCAACTGAATATTACTCGCCATATCTAGCAGTCAAGTGTCAATAAGCTGTCATGGATATCCAAACAGACAAATGTATTGATCGTGGAACGTCTTCAGATACATTGTTAGGATGTGTAAGATTCTTGATAGAGGTGTCGCATATCTAAAGGTGTTCAATTTTCTGAACATGATATAGCACCTTGTCTCCATCCACCCTCAACCAATCTATCCGAACCATAAGTCCATACAAAACTTTCGTACATTCAGAATCTCAGATATGAGTGAACAATTCTTCAACATTCATCGAAACACCACACGAAATTCTTACAGGCACATCACTCTCAAGCCCTAAAGATTTGACTTGACCCACTCTCATCCTATGTATGCTCCATGGTTTCTAGCCTAACAATCTTATAATATATACTACAAACTCTACCTCAGAAACATCCGTTCTAGTCTGTTACTATCCAGATCTATGATTTCAGAAGATGTCCTCAGTACCGAAATGATATAGCTAATTCTATCCCTATCATCCTCATTCTACAATCTAGCCTCTCATCATACTTGGGTAGATTCTAACATATAATAATCAGAGCCTATATCACAGAATCTTGCTTCACTATGCAAGCTAGCCTTCGACTGTAAATTCTAATCTAGAATATATGACACGAAATCTACGTTAAGCCCGGTGACCTTGACTTCTGTCGGCTAGAAACTATATTAGGGCATGAGGGTAATTTGTCATTTTTTCAATTGCCGAGAATCATGCCTCAATCTTATTTTGAACAATAGATATAGGCGTAACTACCTAGTTCATTCGATGTATATATATGCCTAGGTATTCAGTAATATAACTTTACACTGCGAAAACTTTGAAGTAATTACGTGCCATAATGTATCGGGAAAAGTACGATGACGTAATCACTACTTACCTCCATCTTATCTCCGTAGAGAAACTTCTCAAATAGCTTTTCTCTACATACACCAGCCATCAACAAAACAACCTATCACACAAATCATGGCATCTGACGAAACTTACTCCCTCGGCTACAGCCCTGCTGTAGTAGATCGACACTCCCTCCGTCGCGCTTCTACCTGTTGCGCCTATTTCCTACCTCACCTGACTCCCACGTCACACATCCTGGATCTCGGCTGTGGTCCCGGTTCCATCACAACTGATGTTGCCTCACTGGTCCCTCAGGGTTCAATTATCGGTCTCGATGCCGGAGAATCAGTCGTCGAAGTTGCTACTGCAAAAGCCAGAGAACTAGGATTAGATAATTGTTCATTCCAAATTGGTGATGTGATGAACTTACCTTTTGAGGACGAGACATTTGATGTGGTGTACACGCATCAGCTACTTATTCATTTACCAGATCCTGTGAAAGCTATCAAGCAGATGAGAAGAGTTTGTAAGGTAGGGGGACTTGTGGCTTGTAGAGAGAGTGATATGGGGGATGCTCTGTTTTATCCTTCCACTTCTGGACTCAAGAGATCTGTTGAGATCATGGAAGCGATGATCAGAGAGAAAGGATCAGAGCCACATGCTGGAAAGTTTTTAGGGAACTGGGCTAGAGAAGCGGGGTTTGGAAATGGGAATGTAGTGGAGAGTTACAGTTATCTGATGCAACCGAGTTGGAAGAACTCATTGATGACTGGGGATGTTGGCCAAAACGCGATCAGGCTAGGAGTTGTGGACAGCAATGAGAAAATTAAAGAAATGATTGAGGAATGGGATGCTTGGGAGAAAACGGAAGGATGCTGGTGGAAAACTGGCTGTGGTGAAGTAGTTTGTTGGAAACAGTGATTGGAGACACGGCAACTCATCCTCTACTTGCCAGTAGATGACAATGCAATCTCCTGAAGCTTCTATAGTACAATGGTCTATATCTCATCGGAAGCCCAACATTGGCGCGTATGATAGCTTACAATCAATACAAATACAATTCGCGAAATTTCCCTACCTCATCTATACCCCTTTCCTACTCCTTCCCGTCTGTATTCAACTGCCTGGGCAGATAAAACCTCGCATTCTCATATACCAAGAACGTCACCCAAGTCGCCGGCAAAACCCTCACAATATTCGTACCTAACCCCCTATAGAACCCCCTCCACCCCTCCTCTCTCCAAACCTTCCCTACAACCCCTCTAATCCCCTTCCCAAACCTTTCTTCCGCATCATACGTCTGCAATCTACTCCTCACAACCTGATACGGATACGTTGCCGTTCCCGCAATGATTTTCGCCGAGCTGCTAAGTAACAACGTCGCCGTATTCCCCAATTTGACCTGAGAACTTTCTCTATCGCCTCTTAAAGTTTGGTCTGAACAATGATTACGCCAGAAATTCTTCAAGGGCTCGTAGACGGCGAATTGTACGGCTCCATGACTATTTCCCAGTAGACTAATACCCACGCCTCTGTAGAATCCTTGTACTCCCTCATTTTGCCATAAATGTCGAGCGCCATGCCACATACTTTGATACGCTCCTTTACTGCTTCGATCCGAACTCAGCATTCGGGTCTTGAGTACCCAGATTGGATTTGTAGTGATGGTAATCATGATACCTGCCGAACCGGACGCGAGAAAATAGTCAATGGGTGTGAGGGAGGCATAATTGGAATGTGAAGGTTGGTTGTGGAAAGAACGAAGGGAGGATTCGAAGATGTTTTTGAAGTAGAAGAAGAGGGCCCAGCTACTGGCATTGCCGATGAGATTAGGCGTTAGACCGCGGTAGAGACTTTGTAGAGGTTGAGGCTGTTGGGTTAGACTACGGAGGATGGTGAGACCGCTGGCTGGAGTGTGGGATGTACTGCGGTGAACTGATGCTGTTAGCGATGGATTGAGTAGGAAGGAGGGGCATAAAATTACTTTGTAATCGCGTTTTGATAACATCCAGAGGATGAACAGCTAGGGTAGATGCTGTACCGGCCGAGAGGCCAGCAATTGTCTCGACCAGCGCGGGAGAGATGCGCGCATGGTTTTCGGTCATAAGGGAAGATTTGTGTTTGTCATTGCGAGAATGTTGAAGTTGCGAGGGGCAATATATTCCACACGCGATGACGAAAATAAAGCTTCATAATTTTCTGGGGCTTGCCGAGGCGGGGGCAAATGATATCTTAGGTAGAGAGAGTTTCACATTATTCAGACGACAAAGAATGAGGCATTCAAAATTAGAGCTGGAGACAGGCAATGGTTTTGATTTCGTAGTGGTGATTGCGCTTTTTGCGCTATTGTACAATTATCTTCGTATGGTATGTATCCACCATAAACATAAGCTCCCTGAGCATTTCATTATTTCATGAACGCCTCGTATGCTACAACCGTCATATCGTTCTCTGGTTAATGCCAGTGGTCCCATCTATAACCCAGTTCTGCCTCGCAGTTCCTTTCCGTGAATCTCCATATCCATATCGACGACTGGTAAAACATTTCCGTTTGGTGACTCTTTATAAAGAACTTATGCGAGAGGAGAGAGGAGTCTGTAGATAGACATTAGTACATGCTTGAGCATTCAGAGTCTGCAGAGAAACTGACCTGACAATGGATGGGCGTGGTTCACTGCGGGTGTATCCTGATTTTATTAGCATGCATGTCTTTGTGCTTCATGTCGTTTGTCAATTCATACCAAGGTAGAGGATCAATGGGAGGTAGCCACTGCAAATTGTTAGCACAAGTCCAAGATGAAAGATCCAAGATATCCTCACTAATGGATCGCAACACGGGAATAGTCAATGAGCTTTCCAATGCGCTCCTAATCTGAAGTCAACAAAACCATTCCATCCATCCATCGTATGAAGGGCATCTGCATGCGAACCTTGGATTCTTCGGAAAGTTGCATTTTGATATAATTTCTTAATTCGGAGCTGTAGACAATTAGTATCCTGCAAACAAGAAGAAATATTCCATCTTATATACATACAAATTGTTGTAAAATCAAATGTTCTGGCTTGTCTTTCTGCAGTATAAAAAAGTGATCAAGGTTTCTCACAATCAACAAGGCTGATGACTAATCCACCATTATTTTTCCGTCGCATCTTGAGCTTCACTGTGAAGCTCCATGCATATTCACTACAGCTGCACTTTTCCATCTTACTCTCACTTTATTAAACATAAACAACGGGAACTCACTCTCTAGCTCCCACTATAATAACAATATGTCAGGAGCAAGACATTGGTAAATAATCCCTTGTTCCCAGCTTTCAATTTTCCAATTGCTAGCCTTCCCAAGTTCAAACCTCCAGAAAGTATTCAAAGCTAACCATGGCGCAACGCCGCTCTCTTAGGGAACAAGACAAGGAAGCCACCGTCTATATTGGCAATATTGATGAGCGCGTTACTGATAGCTTGGTATGGGAATTGATGTTACAAGCTGGTCGCATTGTCAATGTACATTTACCCAAAGATCGCGTCACTCAAAATCATCAGGGCTATGGATTTGTGGAGTTTATATCAGAGGAGGATGCTGAATATGCGGCGCGCATTATGAATCAAGTGCGATTATTTGGAAAGCCAATCCGTGTGAACAAGGTTTGTTTTATTTTATTCTATGCAGTCTTCCAAATGCGAGAAGAGTTTACTGACTGGGAAATTTAGGCCTCTGCCGATAAACAAAAGACTGTTGAAGTCGGCGCAGAACTCTTCATTGGTAATCTTGACCCTATGGTGGACGAAAAGACCCTATACGATACCTTCTCGCGCTTTGGATCTCTCATCTCTCCTCCCAAGATCGCTCGCGACGAATCCTCTCTTTCCAAAGGTTACGGCTTCGTATCATATGCCAACTTTGAAGCTTCTGACGATGCTATCGCAAATATGAACGGTCAATATTTAATGAACAAAGATATCTCCGTCCAATACGCATACAAGAAAGATGGCAAGGGAGAAAGACACGGAGATGCAGCCGAGAGAGCCCTAGCAGCTCAAGCAAAGAAACACAACGTGATTCCAGATCTACAAAACATGCCACCAGGTTTATTATTAGGCATGAATGGAATTCCACAAGCTCCAGCAGCAATGTTGAACGAATCTCCCATACCTACCGCACCCCCAGGATTCCCACCACAACGTCCTGCTTATAATTCCGTTCCTCCTCCCGGTGGTCCACGCGGTGCTCCAGGAGGACAGCCCCAACATCTTCCACCTCCTCCATCTGGCCTCCCTCAAAGACCACCCCCCTCGCAAGCCGGCTGCGGTGGCCCACAAATGGATTTCCACAATCAACATGTTCCACCCACGGGCCCAGGTGGAGCATACGGACATCCTACTACCGGACCTGCACGAGGAATACAATTTCCACCTGGATTCGCTCCACCAGGAGGTATGCCAGCTCCCGGACAACCAGGAATGGTTCCTCCGCCTGGTTTATTAAACATGCAAGCACCTCCTGGGTTTGGAGGTGCACAGGGAATGCCAATGGGAATGCCACCTGCGGGACCACAAGGTCATGGGGGACAAGGTTATGGAAGGAGGTGAGGTAATTTGGGATAGATAACGAGATTCTAAATATCGCCACGCGATTCTGTGGAGTGTGAGATTGAGACCAGGAGAGCGATAAAGTCAAAGATAAAGATAAATATGGTCAAGAATACCAAAGAAGGAGAAGAGAAAACGTACCCATGAAAATCAAGCGCGGGCAATGGAAATATATCAGGACTGGCGTTCACAACGGCGTTCCAAAGGGGTGAGTTACCACACCACCACATGTTGCATTGCATCTTTCATCCATCCATTCATCCATCCATCCATTCGATCGATGGACGGATCACTTTCGGCATCGAGCAAAATAGTTAGTAACACTTTCCTACAGCCACAGCTACAGCTACAGCTCTAGATGGCCCAATGTATGCTCGTTCACACAGCATCAAATATTAAAAGATACATACATACACACACCCACATACACACAAACATACATACATACATACATACACACATATACATGGAGTGAGTGAGTGAGTGAGTGTAGGAAAAACAATATAATAATAAACAATTATCGGCATGATGTTCAAATACTCCGTATTGATGTTATCTATTTCTTGGCTCTCAGTGATGTATTGTCATGTCATGTCATGTTATGTAATGTAAACTTCCTCGTTTTTGCGTCGTCCTCTGTTCTACTCAAATCTACTCTGCTCTACTCTACTCTATCGTACACTCACCCAGAAAAGTGAAGACTGAAACGTATGGGGAAAGAAAAAAAAAATGGAAAAAATGGAAAAACTCCTTTGCATTTGCAATATGATGACGCATGACGTGCTGAATATGCAATTTCTCTTCTCCATTTTCTTTTCTCTTCTTTTCTTTAGATTTCTCTTTATTTCCTTCCCTTCCCTTCCCTTTCCTTTCCTTTCCTTTTCAATTCACAAACATACACCCCATCCGCAATCCGCAATCCAAACCCCCCACCAAACCCCCTCTAGTTAATCCCCTCATAATCCGCCACCTCAGCAACACCCTCCACATCCCCATCAATTTTCATTTCCTCGGGATTCTGCACCGCCTTGACCTCCTGCACCTCCTCAACCTCCGGTTCGGGGGGAGCCACCCACCTACTAGCCTCTACACCCCAAGCCTCCTCAACCGCGAATTTTCTCCTAAAAACTCTCAACCATCTCTCTCCCCATCCCCTGACCAACTCCCGATCTTCTTCCCTGCCATCCATTTCGATTTCCTGGTCCTTTGATCCATTCGCCCAAGCCGTCAAAAGCTCATCCATCTCCCTTCCCAATTCTCTCATATTGATTCTCTCCATCTCCACGGTTTTCTCAATCAGTTGTTTCTGTTCCTCCAGTAATCCGGGAACACGAAGACTGAGCTGAACTTGACGAATGCGTCCAGTAACTTTTCCAACCGTAGCTTCGACCATCTCGTACACGAAACTCTGACTGAGTCTTTTGCCCTCACTGCCAATAGCCCATTGTACCACACTTTGCGGGCTGAGAATTGTATAGTTCAAAAGTTTATCAATGATGTTAACACCGATACCTGGTTGATCCTTCCAATATTGCATGACCGAGGTGATGATTTGGCGTCTAGCGACTTGAGAGACGGGTCCAATGGCTAGGAGGCGATCTTTGCAGCGTTCAATGCAAGAGAGGACGTGACTAAGAGATTTGGATCCGATGTAGCAGATTGATGTTACGTATGCATCTGTAGATGGAACGAGAGGATCTGGAAGTGCTTGTTCAACTGCCAAAGCGTGAATTCGATCAACGACTGGTTGAATTTCCTCTTCTGTCGCCTTCTTGCGGAGAAGTGCAAGAATTTCTTGTCCTTCAGCACTGAATGGTGTACCTATACATTGTTAGAAGCAATCGTATTCCCCGAATTAACATTACTTACTTGGATCATCAAACTTAAAATCAGGCGTATCCTTTTCCTTCTCCTCTGTGATCAACTGTTGATATGGAGGTGGTAAAGTGCCCTTGATTCTTTGAGCAAAACTCAATCGAATTTCCTTATCCAAAGAACCAATGATAAATGCCTTCTTTGGGTCCAAATCGGAAAGTTCCACATCATCAATCCATTCAGTCCACTTCCAAGTGAAACCAAAGTTACTCAAATGATGCGAAAACCAATCCATAAATCTGCTGCTCAATTCAAGATCCATCGAATCCACATTTCTATACAAGAAACGGATTGCACGACCAAGAGATGGCGCAATAGCAGCTGGTGCAATCTTGCAAGATTCCGTCAAGACAGCATGGTAATAAACAAGTTTGTGTTCCGGAACTGGAAGTTGGAACAACTGTGAAAAGACTGCATCGACTGCAACATCCTCAGGTTTCCATGTTGATCTATCTCCCTCGACATCTCGAAGTCTGTCGAATGGTGTAGCTCTCTTGACAAAAGTGTCAGGAGCAAAATAACAATCGATATCAATCAAGAATTTGGCAGTGGCGTTTCTGTTGTAATCCAAGATATTGATCGTGTCAACCAAAGCATCTCTCAACAGACATGATGAAATATCCGTGATAGGTGGTACAGTCTCAACATCCTGATTAGCATAAACCGAGAAGTAAAGCTCAGGAAACAATGGTCTTGGTCCAGCATTAACAATTTCAGGAAGAGCAATTGTTGGCAAAGTATGTCTTGAAGCGGAAGCCAAAGCTTCTTGTTGTTCTGGCTCAATCATCTTCCACGGTCTTGGTAAACAGAAGAGTTCCCATCCATTTTGCGATTCAGCTTGTAATTGCTTTTGCAAAAGACTCAAAACACCAACTGGCGCAATGGTATCATCTTTAGCATCTCCTGGATATGGATCAACCAAAGCTTGTAAAACGTGTGGCTCAGAAGCAATGATATCAGTGTTCTCAATCATAGCCGCAGCTTTCTCATGAGCATCTGTCGCTGAAGATGCCATGATATATGGAATAGTAAGAAGGATAATCTTGACCAATTCAGGCCCGATAGTCTAGAAATCTCAATGTTAGCCAAATAATCGCAGAATACAATCTCGTCATGCCAATCTCTCACCTCTTCATTATTCTCCGTCTGCAAGTCCAGGGCCTTAGTTAAGAAATCTTGCAGAATGGTGAAGACACCATCACCCTCCAATAAACCCTGCAAGCTTCCCAGGAACTTCATATATAACTTGACCTGTCTCCAGTCACCCTTGGTGATCGATTTGTTCAAGCCCTTTACAGCTCGTTCCAACAACTCCATAACCATTTCCTCTTTCAAAGTATTCAACACCATAACCACTGCAGCAACGAAAGGAATTTTGAAAGGTTGCTCTACGACCAATTGCAGCGACAAATCATAGAAAGAATCGCGCAATTCGACATCATCGTAGTTGTCGCATACAGTTTTGGCTATTTCGGCTACTTCCGTTTCGACGCGCTTGAGAGGTGATTCCGCGATGGAAAGAAGTTGTTTGCGAACTTTGACGATGAGCGGTTCTTCGTAGCGACGTCTTTGAGGTCGTCGATCGTGATCATCTTCATCTGTAGTTTGAGAATGATATTGTTAGCGTTGTTTCTTGTGCTGTAATCATCGAAATCCTCGAGAATCGAAGCTGTCATCAAAGCTTTCGAAGCTGAAGCTAATCTTCCAAATCGCCGTCTTCCCCATCACCAATTTCCCTTTCGTCGATCACCTTCACTTATATCTCGGAGCTCCATCCACCTCATCTCTCCCACATCAAAGAACAAAACAAAACAAATAAAAAAGCACATCAACTAACCTCTATACCTCTTCCTACCACCACCACCTCTCCCACCACCCCCATTATATCTCCCTCTATACCCACCACCCCTCCCCCCTCTCTCCTCCCTCTCGCCATAACCATACCCACGGTCCCCTCCTCTATTTCCGCCTTCCCCTCTCTCTCCCTGATACCCTCCTCTGTTCTCTCCTCCCCTCTCAGCACCTCTCTCATAATCCGCCATCTTTTCTTATTTTCCCTTGACGAAATTCCTCTTACTTCGCAGTCGCGCTCGAATCCAATTTTCAATGCGCTTTATTCTTCGTATTCGCGATCAATTTCCCTTTTTCTTCTTCTCCTTCCTTTCCCTTCCTTCCCAATCAATCAATCAAACCGCGAACAGCCTTTAAAAATTCCCCAAGTATCGTATCGTATCGTATCGTACCGTACCGTAACGTATCAATCCAAACCAATCAATCAACAAACCAATCAATCTTTCAAAAAGAAGGAAAGAAAGAAAGACGTCCTGTTTTGAAGCCCCGAATCGAATGTGTGAGCGGTGTCGCGATCAATTCCAAGACCAATCTTCGAGAATCCTTGAAGATTGATTGATTTATTTTTCCTATCCATTCAACAACCTCTTCAAGATTCGAGCTGTGATGCTAAAAAAGAAGCTCGGTCCATCTCAGGTAGGAGGAGGGACGTGCTGCGCTGAGCGCCATGGTGTGGTGCCTTGTTGCCTTAGCACAGAATTCTACTCTACTACAGCGAGATGCGATGGGATATGCCGTATCATGGTACGCAGCAATTCATTATATCAGATGTTGGGTTGGTAGGAAATACCACATACCTAGTTTGTTCGAAAAACTCAGTACAAGTACACACTTGTGCATCGTCACAATTTGTATATGTCAAAGTAAGAAGTAAGAAGAACCTTTGATATGCTCGTGAAAAAATGATCCTTCTCAGAGCCTTTGGTTTTCACCCCAAGACATGCATACATCTTACACATAATCTCAAACTCATCAACAATCCCTTCATCACATTCCCTCACAACAGACAGACCAAAGCCAGAATGAGCACTTCATTTCACAATACACTCAACTTCAATTAATTCATATTTTGTTATTTTCTGATTTGTCCATTTTCAATACAACGACTGCAACAACAACGACAACAATAAGCAAACTCTCCCCTCACCAATCCCAACCACCCACTCATCCCTCCATCATATGACAAAAGAAAAGTATCCCCTCATATCCATCAATCCCTATCAATCTATCTCCCTTCCCTCTCACCATTTCCCTCCATCTCTCCCTTTCAATAAATCCATCAAGCTCTGAAAAAGACAAGTGAGAAGAAAGAATCAACAGTAAAACAGAGAAATAGTTGTAGCCCAACCCCTTTGAATTTTCCCTTTTTTTTAATAGTAAGCCTAGTAACCCCTATCCTATTTATTTTTCCTTTAATTTCTCTCGTATCAATTAATCCATTCCATTCATGCCATATCAATATTCGTCCACCATCACAGCCACAACTAAAATGTAAAATGTAAAAAAAAGGTACGCCTGAATCTTGCTTGCATGCCTGTGTTGGAGTATCAAAATATCAAGTAGCGATCGAAGGGGTGCCGAAAAAGAAGAGAAAAAGAAAAGGATGAAAACGAAAAGAGTCAGAAAATGCAAAAAGTAGAAGGTCCAGCCAACCCATCAATCCTCATCACACGAGGCACACAACACACTGTGGAACAAAAAACGGAAGAAGAGAGCAAAAAGGCCATAATTTTTTCTCCTCATGCAAGAAAGTCTAGTAACGAGGTGCCGATAGAAGTATTCGTTGAATCCCATAAACTACCACTCACCCCCTTTCCACA